ATACACCAACCAGGGATACTCAGCCGGTGTGAACAATGCACGACGCAGAACAACAACATTCACGGAAGCGGCGCGGGATCCAAGCCAACCTCCAGATTGATAGGATCTAGGAAGCCATCGAGAAGCTTTTATACCCCTACCGTACGATGTTTGCAGTAGTGAACACGAGTCCTCCGTACTGACTCCCATGACTCCTATGGTTGTTTGTGCGTGGATGCATAAAGTAGCCCGTAGGTATTCCTTTCCCAATTCGAAGCAACAACTCTCCGAGACTTCACCTTCCGTCGGCACGACCAGAACATTAGCATTTTCACCACCTGATACAACACCGAGCCCTCCGTCAACGCAGGAGCGAACCAGAGCTCCCTACCCACCACTAGACCCTGCCCAAATCATCAGGCCAGCGGTACGGCTATCTCTGACCGACCTGGGTAGAGGAGGCGAAGTGACCCTACGGACCGAGAAAGGTTAGCGAGCTGCGCGGAAGAGCTTATGGAACGCCTCAGAATGTTTGCCATAATGATGCTTGCGCAGTGAGTCCCGCATCACTCTTCGAATACTTGCGCGTCAATCCACAAAGTAACCCGTAGGTATTCCTGCTTCTATGCTGACATCTAGCCACCATCGCCTCCACAGCAACGCCGCAGGCCAAGCGTCAGAATCGACACCAACCACGCCCATCGCCCTCTTCTTCTAGACCCGATTCCCAGCCTTAGTGACCCGCGCAACCTACGCGGCGGTCTCCCGCGCGAGGAACCGCGTCGAACCGACCGAACGGTATAGAGGAATCTGTCACAGATCATCAGACATCTGCCACACCACAACGTTCCCACCACTAACACGACACAGTCGTCGTAGGAAGGAGTCTCTCTTGCCACAAAGCTGCCGCCGCCCCTGTAGATCGCTATGCCAGCAACCAGCGCCTCGGAACCTGCAACCACCCACTCTCGAACGAAGAAGCAGCAGGAGTTCCGGAGCTACCGGCAACACACATGTCTTCATTGTTGCTGCTCTCAAGCAACGACCACAGAATGAATGCAATCACAGGGCTGTGCTCTAGAGGGAGAAGAATCAGTAAGTCGATAGGACTATACCCAGCCTTCGCATGTTTGCTACGGCAAATGTGAGTCTTCTGTGTGTGCCATGTGATTCCTTCCCAAACTCTTCCACAGCGGTGTTTCAAGTCGTTCGGGCGCCTTCGATCCCAAGACCAGAACCGCGTTGGCCAGCCTAGGGAGGCCCGGTGTGGCTGACCGGCGGTCCTTGTGCAGCTGGCCGGAGACTGGTGCTGTAACTCGCCGCGCCCTCCGATGCGGTGGTAACACCATCTGATTGACGCCTCAGCAACGTGTGCGCTGTGTCCTCGAGCGGTACATACCGTCGTCTGGGGCTAACCAGGGTGGCGGCAACATGCCCTTCAAGGCCTGACAATTTCAAGCCGCTGGCCACCAAGTCCGACCCCAATCAGTCATGTCTTGTAGAAAAGAGAGATATACCAGATTTGGCAAGGATCTTATACACTGCCTTCGTACGTTTGCTATCATGAGCCATGACTCCCCAATTCATACCGCGCTGACACTTGTGGAATTTGACTTACTGCTGAGAGACGCCACGTAAAGACCCGATTATGATGAGCCGACAGCCAGAACATACGATCCATGATTTCCGGGTGTGGTGCTAGTCTTCTGCATACAGATTTTCTGATGGATCGTGGGACAACAGAGCCCAGCCCTTCCACGGCTCTACACTGCAACGCATTGCACCAAGCAAGATGTCGGACGACAAGAGCGGACATACAGGGACGTCGTCTTCGAAGGCCCGAGGAACGTCGAGTCGGTGAGTGACATAGGACGGTCTCGGCTCTAAGTTTGATGGTGATTGCAACAACACATCTCGCACCGAAGACGCCGCAGCTTCAAATGCTGGCATGAGTGGTTAGCATGGTATGACATCTGCTCAGCAGCAATCAACCCAGCAGCCAAGCACTACCTTTAGCCGACGAACGTCAAATCCGTGGGTGATATTGAACTTTAATATACCCTTTTCTCATATGTCTGCTCTAGTGAGCACGAGTGCCGAGTCTCGCATACAGGGCGTTTAGTAACTCATTCCCGGCCCCTCTAGCAACAACGCGGCAATACCTTGTGATCGACGCCCTAGCACCGTGTGTCGTTGAACGGAGCAGCATCGTATCAATGAGGTTGGCCCCGAGCACTTCTCCAACCAAGCCGATAGCAACAATGTGCCTTCAAAACCTTCGACCTCTCGAAAGCCCGCTGTGCCATGCCGTAGCCGTATCCATTGCGGTAAGGCGTCGTAGGTACATTTGCACGCTGGGTTGCTTGCTGGATATCGGGCCACCGAGTCGGATCCGACGATGTCCTGCAGAAAAAGAAAGAGACCCGCCAGCTGCCGGGAGATCTTATACCCTCCCCTCGAGAGTTTGCTGAGGTGAATCTGGCTTCTCAATGAGTCCCAAGGCTAGTAAAACAAACGCCTGAAAAGCTCCTTACCGCTGACGGACCGCCTTTCCCAAACCTGATTGTCCCACATCCAACAACACCGCTGCTCAGGCCAAAAGCATCTCGAACGAAGAAGCAGAACGGGCTTCGCGCCCCGGGCGGTGCCTTCGATCACGCCCGTTGACCTCTCCCCTGGCCCTCAAACACAGGGATCAACCCGCCGAAGTATTCTGCAGAAGAAAGAGAAATTGGCGAGCTGAAGAGAATCTTATACCATACCCTCCCCTGAGTTCCCTCAAAAGTTTGCTCCGGTGAATCTGACTTAGTGACTCCTCCACGAGTCCCAAGGCCCGCAAGACAAGCGCCCTAAAAGGGTACTGGTCTTCACCGAGCATCTTCTGGCGTCAAGGTCCTTCGCGGGCAGGAGATTGAGAAAGACCACAAAAGTCGCAAGAAAGCAGTAGCTCGCAGCAGACCGACGGATGTGGCCAGCAGGAGCAGGGGAATGGTCTGCCAACCACAGAGCTCAACCCACCGGTGTACTCTGCACTGTATCATTTCCTTTCTCTAGAAGGCTCTTTTCTGCCTCTCTGAGCAATCTACTCGGCTCTGGAATAGCGGCGCTCTGCGGTGTTGTCATTGGAGCGATTGGCTGGCCTACATTAGCTTGTTTAGCTTGAATCACAGAAATTCGATCGCACAACGCACCTTCTGGCACTGGATTCCGCCGGATTGATAGTACGGCATTTCTAGATGGCTCCCAGCATGCGGGAGAATGGAAGAGGTCAGCGAGCGGAAGAGGATCTTATACTCTCCCCCATCCTCGTATGTTTGCTCCTTGGGATACGGCTCCACCATGAGTATCACAGGCCAAACGCGTAGAGACTTCCTCTCCACTGATGGACCGCCTTGCTTGGCTCTGCTCGTCACATACCCACCAATACCGCTACGCAGGCCACAAGCATCTGGCTCCGGGATCGGGATGGTTCTCTGTTCGACTGACTGCGTATTTCCGTTGGCCTCGGTCGCCCTGGCGTTCGACTGGGTGCTCTGGTTCGTGGTTTCAAGAAATTAGCGAACGGAAGAGGATCTTATACCTTGCCTCACCCTCGTATGTTTGCTCCTCTGGATATGAGTCCACCATGAGTCCCGCAAGACAAACCGCGTAGAACATTCCCTAGCTCCGACCGCTGACGCATCGCCGTTCGAAAACCTGATCCTGGAGACAGGCTGCGAACCCTCCTCAACGACGTACAACCGACGCAGAAGTGCCCGGATACAGGTCTTCACCAAATAATGTGACCCTCCTGCGCAGGAATTTAAACATCTGCTCCCGCATCGACACGACAACGGCTCACGAGTGTCCCAGCTCAATCCATCGGGAGTGGCAGAAGAAGGGCAGGCTTTTCGCATCTTCGCTTCACCCAAGACAAGCCATCGACAATGCCATCTCACGATGAGGAGAGAGGAATTAGTGAGCGTGCAGAGGACTTTCTACCCTAGTATGCCCAAGAATGTTTGCAGCGGTGAGCATGACCTTCCCGGAACCCGCTTACACGTGTTGTACGACACCTTCTTACCTTGGGTAATGTCTGCATCCAGGCACCCGATCGTCACATACCCGGTCCAGCTTCCAGCTGCCCCGGTCTCTCATGAGTTGTACCTTGCCTGCGCAGATGTGAAGTCTCCTCGTTGTGCTCCAACTTCATTTCCCTGTTCTCTGCCTGTACAACTAGGTTCTGATGCTCCATGTTCCAGAAGTTGTGGAGCAGGTTGCGCAACGGTTGTTGTGCTCGTGGTTCTGCAGAGTAAGCTTCCCACCAACATCCCTCCGTCCGGCGACCGCAAGCATCTCGAACGAACATGAAAGTAGCAGCAAGGAGACTTCCGCGCCCCGCCACCCTGGTCTCGGACATCTGCTCTCGCATCGACACGGCAACGAGTGTCCCAGCTCAATCAACCGGCATCGGAAGAAGAACACGAATAGAGGCGTGTTCTGCAGAAAAGGAGAGATTAGTGTGGAGGGAGAGGACTTTGTACCTCTACCCAAGAATGTTTGCAGCGGTGAATATGACTCTCCCGCACCTCTCGCATGACACCTCGAACTGTTGCGCGTTGGAAAAACGCGTAAAGTTACTTACCGCTGACAGACCGCCATCCAAGCACCTGATCGTCACACACTCACCAGCATCCCTCCGTCGACCGCAAGCATCTCTCTCTCTCTCTCTCTCACAAGCAGCAGCGAGACTTCCGCGCCACGCCACCGACGCCGCCGTCGAAGGAAATTCACGATGCCCGCTCACCACTCTTTCCTTAGGCCCTCAGGAGCCGAAGAGACATGAACAGCATCCTGCAGAAAGAGAGAGGATTAGCGAGGAGGTAGAGGAGCTTTATACCCCTACCTTAACTAAGGATGTTTGCAGCGGTGAATATGACTGCCCTCTCACGGTCTCTCGTGACTCTTGCCATACGCTTGTACACCACCACATGATCAGCCCAGTCGTAGGTCCCTCCCCTCCATGCCTTCGCCACTAAACACTAAACCTCAAAAACCTCCCCAACCCCCCTCCAATCCCCCCGTTCCCTCCGCCCCCAATACCCCTCCACCTCCTCCCCTTTCAACCGCCACACATCCTCCCCGACCCCCTCCACCAGCTCAAAAAACCTCGGCTCCCACACCCTCCCATGCGCTTCCAACACCTTCCTCCGCGCGCGCTGGCGCTCTTCCAACCGCGCTTTCAGACCCTCGGCTTCGTCCACGGCGTTGCGTTCGAGTGCCTGCTGGTCCGGACGTAGTCGCGAATCCGTAGCTGGGAGGTGGGAGGCTTCGAGGGGCGTGGTTTCGTTGAGGCTGGCGGCGAAGGACGTGAAGCCGTACATTTTTGCGGAATCAGGGACGAGGGGGCCGACGGTCCAGATCTGTACGCCGGTGTCGGTTCGTTTGAGACCTTCGGTCCATTTCCCTGTGAGGCCGAGGGGTAAGGGAGCGTCGCCTGCGGCAGAATCGAACAGCTGGACAGAGACTTCTTCGCTGCGACCGGAGAACATGCCGCCGGCTTTGAAGGTGACGACGGCTTTGAGGCCGCCGGTCTCGTTGGTGATGGTCATGCTTTGCACGGGCTCGACGTACTTTTCTCCTGCAATGACGTTGCGCAGGAAGCAGGTTGCTTGGTTCCAGCTATACCTTTCGCCGCTTTCGTGCAGCACTACTCGCGCTCGTCCTTCGGTATTGAGTTCGACAGATTTACCCCAGAACTTCTGCACGGGTTGTGGAGCTTGCGTGAAACACCATCCTCCATTCGTCAGACTGTCTGCTTGACACGCCATGCGGACAGGGTGGTGTGAGACTTTCTCGCTGACGAAGCGGAACCCAAGATCTTCCCGCACAAGCTCGTAGGTCTCGCCGAGCATTGGGTTGAATGGTTTGCGGATGGCACGTTCTTTGACGCGGGAGGCGGCGAAGTAGGAGATGGCGAAGGCGGTAACATACATGAGTCTTTCAGCTGGTGTAAGGGACGGTGCAGCAGCGGAGTCGAGCAGAGGTGAGTACTCCATGCTTTCGGCGAGACGTTGGAGAAGAGAAGTAGGTTCGTTGGCGGTGACGGGCATGGAGACGGTCGAGAGGTCTTTTCCCGCGTTTTTGCGGAGGAAGCCGATGATGGAGGGAGGTGCTTGCTTAGGTGGGGAGATGGCGGTGCGGCGTTTGACGGGTGGATGCGGCAATGGCGGGATCTTCTGTGGGCGAGTAGGGAAAAGTGGTGAGTGTGCTGTTTTTGGCGTTCGGTTAACAGCAGAGTCGGCGGCCGCATCGCCAGCGTCGCTACTAGTGTCCGACTCGACGTCAGAGCCGTGCTCGAAGAGCAGTTCATCGCGCGCTTCTTCAAACTCGCTCGAGCGTCTGATGTTGAGTAACTGAGAAGGGCTCATCGGTCCGTCGCCATCTTCAGCATCGAAGAACTCCTGGTCGACCGACTCAATAGACATGCGGGTGCTCGATCGCTTGAGTGGTGGTATTCGGCGGGCTCTGCTTTCAGCGACCAAAGCAGCAAAGTCGGTGACAACATTATCCAGATCTCTCAAGAGCGCCATGCATCGCTCATGCACGTCATCGTCGACAATTGGAGCCAGCTTTGTCATACTAGGACGCTTCTGGATCCCTGGTGTTCCGGCTGGCATGGGCGACATGGGACTCATTGCACCCGCAGGTGTAGGTACCGCCAGCTGAGCAGAGACACTGCGCCTTACGAGTGCTGCCGGACTACGGTCTGCACTCGCTCGGCGCTTCCAAAATGGTCGCCTCTCCTGTGGTTGCTCGCCAGTCTCTGGGAAGTATGAACCGATCGATTCGTACGAAGATGGGCTTGGCGCATTGCTACTGCTCTGGGTGGTTGTCAAACCTAGACCGACGCCATTCGCTCCCAGTGCATATTTCGGATCCGTGTCCTTGGCAAGAGCACGCACAGCGTCCCTAGTACCAGACACTTTGCTCACCAGCTGCTCTACTCTCGCCCACTCCTTCTCTTCCGCAGGGTTGATGATAGGAGGCCGAGTCGTCCCTTGGAGCGTCGCCGCTGGCGTTGCAGACTCGGATATCGCACTCACGGACGCTGATGCTCGTTCCAGCGCCTCTCGCCAGCCCGCAAAGTCCTTCTTGTTGAGAGCTTTCAAGTGCCACACCTCGGCTCCAGAATCAACGGAGAACTCCCGTGTCTTCTCGTTTGCGCCAATGGCAGCCAGTGACAGCGGTACAGCCCCTCGTAGTCCAGATGAGTGTCGATTCCGATAGTACGACAGAGTTGAAGAGGTGAAGTCGAGCGAGAAGAAGCGTTTCGCATAGCCCTGCCCCTTCTTCCTGCGCTTCTTGTTCAGGACTCCAGTATAGAAGCTCGTGCCTTCTGAGCCTTTGGTCTCCACACCCTTTCCCTTCGAGTTTGGTCTTGGATCCTCCAGAAATCCGCGATGCAGTCCGTTCGTCTGCGGAAGCGATTCGTTCGAGTCGGTGATTGGATGGAGTCCAGGACTGTAGCCCTTGCCAACACTACTGGAGCTTCCGGCCGCAAATGCTTGCGAATAATGTAGATGGTGACCCGGCTTCGGCGGCGCATTGATGCCGTGCGTCATGAGCACGAATGTGACCGTTTTGGACGTCTGCTTGGAGAAGGTGTTGTCGAACACCAGCCCATACATTCCTCCCTCTCCATCCAGCACGTCATAGCGTCCCATAGACACCTTGTCCGCCTCACACCTCCCCGTCCATGCTACTGACTTCAGCCCAATGGCTGTAAGCTTCTCCACCACATTCACCGAAGTCACCGAAGCTCTTCTCGCGCTCGTCGTGCTGACCTGGGGTGTGCCATCAACGCCTGGTGTTGGAGGAAGTTGTCCGGTCGTCTCTTCCGTTGTGGGGATGACCGGCGCAAGGCCATTTTTCGTGCCGGGATGTTTGAAGATGCCAAAGTTGATGCTCTTCTTGTTGGGCTCGACGGACCACGATATGGACTGCTGGTCGGGGACTTGGATCCAGCGGACGACGTAGCTCTGGAGGTAGACCCTGGGGTTAGCATGTGATTGTGGAGATGTGGGTTAGACGTACCCTTGAATGCACCACTACCCGCTCAATACCTGCCATGTTGTCGTTGCCGGGCAGGGATCATACAGGTGGAGGAGTTGTAGTAAGCGGAGGCGCATCCATATACCTCTCCTTGCCTTGCTGGAAACCTGATTGTTGTCGGCAACGCGCGGACTTTATTCAAGAAAAGGCGTCCGGATCAGCAGTCACTTCGGCCGACTGCTTCCCTGATTCACGCCGGCATGGTCGACGGGTGAGATAAGCTCGCGTCACTACTAAGTCTTGCGTGAATAGCAATAGTCAGCTGTCAAATGTAGAGAACGGTCTCGTGCTGACGATCCGGAATCAGCCCACTGGAAGCTTTGGACCCTGGGTTCCGAACAAGGCAAGAGCCAGGCACATGTGTTTCCTTGGCGCGTTTGAGATCGCGTTTCCAAAAACTTACCCATTCACTCTGTCCATACCACCCTTCCCACCCACCATTCCCTGAACGATGCGTCCCAGCGCGCTCTAGCACCGTGCGCCTCGACGCTCCTACACACCCACCACCACCATGGCCGACCTCCACAACACCCCCATCGTCATCGACAACGGCAGCGGCACCATTCGCGCCGGATACGCCGGCGAGGACCTGCCCAAATGCTTCTTCCCCTCCTTTGTCGGCCGGCCGAAACACACGCGGGTGCTCGCGGGTGGGTTGGAGGGTGATACGTTTATTGGGAATAGGGCCCAAGAGTTGAGGGGGTTGTTGAAGATTCGGTATCCGTTGGAGCATGGTGTGGTGACGGATTGGGATGATATGGAGAGGATTTGGCAATATATCTATACGGATGAGTTGAAGACGTTGAGTGAGGAGGTACACATCAATGCTTGGACTGAGGGAGGATGCAGGAGCTAATATGGAGAGCAGCACCCCGTATTACTGACGGAAGCCCCCCTCAACCCCCGCCAGAACCGCGACACTGCCGCCCAGATCCTCTTCGAGACGTTCAACGTGCCCGCTCTCTACACCTCCATCCAAGCCGTCCTTTCCCTCTACGCCTCAGGCCGAACCACAGGCGTGGTCCTCGATGCAGGCGATGGCGTCTCCCATGCTGTGCCCGTGTACGAAGGCTTTGCGATCCCTAGCAGCATCCGCCGCATCGACGTCGCTGGACGGGACGTGACAGAGAACTTGCAGCAGCTGCTGCGCAAAGGAGGCAGCGTCTTCCACACCAGCGCTGAGAAGGAGATCGTGAAGCAGGTCAAGGAGAAGACATGCTACGTCGCGCTGGATCCGAAGAAGGAAGAGAAGGAATGGATCAATGCTGGATCGCGAGGGAATGAGAACAAGACGGTGGTGTATGACCTACCTGATGGCCAGAAACTGAAGGTCGGCATTGAGCGGTTCAGAGCGCCAGAGATCCTCTTCGACCCTGAGCTCATTGGTCTCGAATGGCCGGGTCTGCATCAAATCGTCGTCGACGCTATCGGACGGACAGACATGGACCTGCGCAAGGCGCTGTTCGGCAACATCGTGCTGTCTGGTGGTTCGACAATGATCAAAGGCTTTGGCGACAGATTACTGCATGAAGTGCAACGACTGGCGGTCAAGGACATGCGTATCAAGATTTTCGCGCCGCCGGAGAGATTGTACAGTACCTGGATCGGCGGCAGTATTCTAGCGGGCTTGAGCACGTTCCGGAAGATGTATGTGACGATTGATGATTGGCATGAGAGTGAGTATACATACGAACAACATGGGATGGAAGTGATGCTGACGATGTGATAGATCCAGAGATCATCCACCAGAAGTTTGCGTGAGAATGGTGAACGCAAGCAGGCTGGCGAACAGATGGGAGCTCAAGCTGCACATCGCATTTCAGCCACACTGAGATGGGAGCCACGCCCCTCGGCCGTTGACGTTTTCTCAGGTTGCTGTCAACACGTCACGAAGATGACGAGAGTCATTGCACGACTCGAACAGCACAACGAGAACGCAAGCATGATCGCAAGACTTCCAACGTGACCAACTCTCCGGTCAATCCTCCGAGGAGCTCCCGCCACGTCAACCAGACATCAACACAATCAGACTTGGCCACAACCTTCATGGATCTCCGCACTCTCCGCCCCGCGCCATCGTTTCTGTCTGTGGGGAAGCACGCTCCAAATGCAGTAAGCAGGAACCTTGGGCTACCTTGGGCTATCAAGGAAGTACCACTAGCCAATGGGATGAGACGGTACCTGCACAAGGGCAGGAGTCTCGTCAGGGAGACGGGAGATGATCTGGTGATCTTTGCGAGGGGAGGAACACGTGGATGTGCTTTGCGGTTTAGCTGGAGGACCGGACGGAACAGTGGTATGCAGCCAAGTATGAGCAATGCGAAAAGTCTTCAGCTACAGACAACCGTGGACGAGGACGACTTCCGACGATCGCGGTTCGATGTCGTGATGCAGATGTCCTCCTGTGCTATGCTGTATAGGTGGTATTCTGGGGGTAACAGGAACTCGATCGTTTGGTACGCGACTCCGCACGTGCTCCGCGTGATGTGTCAAGGTTTTCCACCGTTAGCGTTGTAGAGCCGCTTCGTGCCGAGACTCGAAGACTTTGCTGTATAGGTACCTCCAGACGTAGTAGACATGATGGGTGCTGTTGTTATACGTTCTAATCGGTTTCGTGATGGCGTTTGAGCAAAAGTGAACAGTTCCAGTCATCCTATCCATCGCCACAACAAAAAAGGTATCCGCACCGCCTGATCGCATAAGCAAGTCATAGACACAGACACAACACTGTCTTGGCTCCGAACCATCCACCTGACCTCCTCGGGAGGCGTCAGCGGCTCAGCCGAGCGGATGCACTAGCTGTTTCTCGGGGGTAACAGAAACCTCACTCTCCTTCACGCTTTCCAGTTAACGGAAGCCGCTTTCCAGTTAACGGCAATGTCGCTGTCGCCAGCCAAGTTTTCTCTGCGTCGTGCACCGCGTGATGTTCTTTTGCAAATTTGCATGCCAGGCTTTGATGCGCTGGTGAGGAGGCGAGGGTTGGTGGTGACTCCGAGAGGGTTTATAAGTGGTAAGGGAGGTAGGTTGGTGTTTCTTTGAGGGCTGTCTTTGCTATACCATTACGCTTTTTGAGTCTATCTATCTCTCTACTACTGCTTCGCCACTGCCTTTGGAGAGGAATTAACTACTACTACGACTCATCTGGAATACAATATTACAACCCATCCTCAACATCAACAACAACACAACAACCGACACTCGACCACACGACCGACACCAAAGAACGGAAACCATGTCCCGCAACCTCTCCCTCGTCGAACCCCACCCCTCCGTCCCCTCGACCGGCGGCTACGTGCACGCCGGCCGCGGCGGTGCCGGCAACTACAAACACTACCAGCCCTCCACCCTCACCTCAGGCCCCTCAGCCACCGGCCCCGCCTCCCGCATCTCCCTCTCCAAACCCTTCTCCAAACGCCCTTCCGCACCGCATCCAACCGGCCGGGGAGGGGCAGGGAATATGTTCAAGCCTTCATCCACAGGGCCGGGGGAGGAGGAGCGGGTGTTCCAGTTCGATGAGGAGATGGTGCGGAGACGGGAGGGACAGGGCGTGGCGCCTGTGTATCATATTGGGAGGGGCGGGGCGGCGAATGTGGTTAAGGAGGAACGGCCGGGACGGACGGAGAGGGTGGGGAGTACGGCGAGTGTGCTGAGTTCGAGTTCGGAGGGGAGTGGAGGGGGGAAGAAGGAGGGGGCGTTTGCGAAGTTGGCGAGGAGGTTTTCATGAGAGGGTGCATGAAGCTTTCGGCTTTGCTTTGGTATAGCGATGCGTCGGATCTATGGGTAGTGGGCCGGACTGGGCTGGCGGACAGCTGCGGGTCTGGGTGGCGTTGAGGGGGCATCAAAAAGCATTTTCACCTGGCGTGCCATGGCATGACCACAGCAGCAAGGTGTTTGGGATCAACGGAGGAAAAGTGTTTTATGGGTGAGCATCATGACTGTCAGACATAGCTTCTACGAACGACGAGAGACTTGAGTATCAATCATACTGTACAATCCTACCATCGTGTCCTGCACTTTGCTGATGACATTATGTCGTAGTCTTTCGTCCTGGGCTTTGGCTTGTGTGGTTCGCATCTGGAGTTGTCAGGCTGGAGCGATGCCTTAGCGCGGTACTTGTATACCACGATTGAGCTCCATGGCAGCAAGGCTATGGCTATGCGGTGTCAGCTAGTCGCTTGTGCACACCTTCAGTCACAGCCTTCCTCGACTGATCAAAATGTACCTCATACTGCTTGTTACTCCAGCTGAACCAAAACATCGAACACCGCTAAGCACATTTTCTGGGACGGACGATAGCTCGTAGGTGCGCAGCAAAGCATGACCAGTGCTTCGACGGAATGTCTTGGGCTTACTTTCGCTGCAAGCGGGACCGTGGACTGCGCATCCGTCGGTGCACAATGTGCCTACGTGGCGTGTACGGACGGTGATGGGGACCACTGCTACAGCATCGATCCAGCGGCGGGATACCCAGCGGGTACCTAGGTCGATTTTGGAGCCTTTACTTGTTCCGGCGCTACTTATTGTCCGCTGGCGTATGATGTGTATGGCAGACGGACATCAACGGGTCCATACATTCCCCCCAAACCGCTGCTTTGGCCAGAAGTGCAACGATGCTGACTGAAATGACAGGTGTTGTCCCACTCCTGGCTGGCTCATATCTTGTCCGGAAGAAGTGTGCTCTTGCTACCCTCTCTCCTGGTTTGACCAGTTCCTTCCACCTCTATCCCAGACCAGCCTTTCGTCGGCCATCTCAGCAGTGGCCACATCCACGATCGCAGGTCTGTCGATCTCGAGCACGGCGACATCGACAGTCGCAGATCCATCACAGTATTCGCAGTCTGCTGCCTCTACACAACCAACTACGAGCCCTGCAGTACAGCAGGCTGGGGGAGGTGGCCTAACAAGGTCAGACAACATTGCACTGGGAGTAGGTGTTGGACTCGGCTTGCCGGCGACCCTTGCTGCTCTCTTTACGTGCTATTTGACACTATTCCCACGAGGTCGAACTAGAAGCTTTTGGTAAGAGACGTCCGCGTACGCAGACGGATGTCGGACGACTACAAGATGCTCACAACCCAAGACCGTCGTACCGAGGACGAACCAACGCTGCAAACCTCCGACACTTGCTACGCCATCTCGAAAGTCTCTCTCCACGATCCGCCTGCTCTTTCAATGATGCCACGACGGTACCTTATGATCTCTCAACACACAGAACGACCACACAGGAAGCGAGTCGGCCCGGATGTCGACTTCTGCTTATACACCCGTCCATCCGCAAGCGACTCCACCGCCATGACTTCATGACCATCCTGGAAGGTAACCGCCGGGCCCTCTCTTCGGCGTCTCACGCTCCCGCAGGAACTCTGCTACACCCTGCAACCCTGACCGTCCAGTATTAGATGCCGGCCGAGGCTGCTGATCATCGTCATCGTCGTCGTCGTCGTCGACAGCTTGCGGAATCGAAGCGGTGCTACGAGAGGGCGTGAGTACGTCGAAGCTGGATGAGCTGGAGAGGATGCCCTCACGGAAGTCGTCGACACGCTTTCGTTTCCGCCCACGATCCGCGATCGATCCTGGTGAGCCGTTGTTGCTGTTGTGGCTTGGGTGGTCGTCACCGTCGTCTTCTTCGGGGCTGGCGCCTGTGTTGAACTCGGCGACTGAGGATATGGTTAGCAATGACATAAGTCGAGAAGTGGAAGGTACTTACATGCGTCCCCAACAGAGCTCACGATGCGCCTGGTCTGAGAGTTGAGTCGTTGTCGGAGACCATCAAAGCATTCAGACGCCCCGGTCTCGGTTGACTGTGAAGGTGTCAAACCTGCTCGACTGTTTCGCTGAGGACGGACGGAGAGGTGGTGGCGGTAAGACTTCCTGGGTCAGGGACAGCAGGACAATGTAGTGGTGAAGAGTGAGGAGAATCAGTATCTGCGCTGTTCTCGCTTGCATACGTACAAAGCTCATACTCCTGAGTCATTCCAATTCCATCAATCCTTTCAAATCAGCCGAGCCTCACGTAGTAAGAGACAAAATTGACAATGCATGCAACGTGACGGGATGCGATCCAGATGCCACCAGAAGTGGGTTGGGATGGACCATCTTCGCCTCCCGTCCCGGCCTTTGTGCACAAACATCCGGCCATCACTCTGTGTGAGCCACCACATGCTCCCACGTACTCATTCTCCCACAAGTTGTCATCAGTGCCTCTCATCTCATCTCATCCCGCTCTACTTCCAGTCGCTGTCAGCAAGTGAATCAGTGTCGCTGCCGGCCAGTGAATCGCGATGGCTTTCGGTCAGGGAGCCGTGGTCGCAAGTACACCCACAATCGAGCTCGTCGGAGTCCGAGGTAGGAGGCGTGAGGATGACAAGGCGGCTTGGTCGGTGGATCCGGACGGAGTACACGCCGGCACGGGGATCGATGTAGATGGTCAGACGGAAGGATAGGCTCTCTGGTTTGAGCTTGCGTTTGATGGTATTGGCGCAGGATGCGGCGGCTGTATATACCATTAGTGAAAACATTCGAAGAGGTGGTTAGCGTTGCCTACCGTAGCGAATCGCATTCACGCTCCCGCCGGCAAACTCGTCGATTGCGAGCGGGCTCCGGCCGGTTGGTCCTCTGCCCAGAACGACTTTCTCAACAAGCATGCACGTGATGGTGTCAAGGACCAAGGCGGCCACAATCACCGGTACCAGGGGACATATCTCCTCGGCGAAAGAACAGCCGTCATTGGCGAACTCGAGACATTGGACGATGTTGATGAGAAGCTCTCCAATCGCGCAACCTGCAGTGACGCTCAAGAGGACCCAGACGACGGCTTCGATGATCACAGCCGCAGCAAAGGGAGAATGTTTGATGATGCTGATGGCGGCGATGGCACACCAGAGAGACGTGATGACAAACAAGACTGATAGTAGCATGCTCGAGCTGATGTTGCTGAGGTCCGTCATATTGGCTTGAAAGTGAAGCGGCCAATGGAGTGGATGTAGTGGACAGGAAGTTTTGCCAGGCGCCTGAAGTTGAGAAGAGAAAGGAGATGAACGGTGCAGATAGTGGCAGTAGTCCTGACGTCTGCAACAAAGAGCCGTTTGCAATGCAGAATTTAGCGGTGAGACCTTACTGTGACTTGTAATCAAACCGCCTCATCGATTAAACGCAGCTTTCCCGACATGAGTGGCCTCCCGAGTTGCCAGAACCTCATTAGTCCCAGCGAAGCGGTAGGCAGTCAATAGTGCTGCCTGATTCATATGGTTCGTTTGAAGGTCGTCAATAGTAAACGAGAAAGACATCTTGCCAGATGTGCGCTCGTTGTACTTGGACTACCAGCTCATTGTGCCAATAGGCTCGTTAGTGGAGGCGAACATGTCTCATTGATGGTAGTACATACATCACGACCCTGATCTGCAGTGAATAGCCATGGATGAAGCTGCTCAGTTCTTGTTGCGAGTCGATGTAGATACATTCTGCAGCCTCCCGTGCACTAGAAAGAACCCTGTCAACATGCTCTTGGCTAAATCAGTTGTGCAACCACCGTGCGTAGCACGTCATGCATTGAACCACGAAGTCCAAGCCATGCCGTCTGCTCAGAAGCGAAATCAACCTGTACGTGAACACCGTAATGCTCACCAACTTACGACGTCCGATGCACAATCGCATCTGCAAGCCCACAACCAATGACCGTCGCTGAAAGTCCAAACAGAAATTAGTGCGAGCCCTTTCGTCCCGCCGCAAGGTCTCAAACGGCGGATCGAGCTCGAAAATGTTGGCCTAGATCAGCAGGACTTGATGGTGACGGTCTGGCGGGCGTGCTGGTCATGCGTCGCTGGGGTGGTTCGTGCTATATCGATGTCAGCAACGTTACAAGATGTGTCCAGCGAGTACTTACATGTACATTCGCAGTGGCGAGAGCCACACGCCAAGCATGGCAGGGTGGTGAAGGAGTTGAATACCGCAAAATTGTCTGGCTCCGGTTCGACAAGTCCGAAAGCCAGCCATTCGATGAGAAATATGGTCAAGAACGCCGCGGTACGGGATCCGAAGATTGTGATTAATATCATCATGGATTGGGCCGCGAACTGACCAGCCGGGTGTAAGGTGCTGAACCTCTCTTCGTTGTTGAACGTCTCGAGTATGACAAGCACACCGAACACTATCAGGATGATCAGCTCCGTCAGGGCGGCTGCGAAGTTTATGATGCTGGGTTTGGTGGACGCCGTAGTAGCCTTGAGCTGCTGAGCCATATGCAGGAGCGAACGGATGAGGCAGATAAGCAGCCATGGCGAGAGACAGGCGGCCAGAACGAGCATGATGGGTAATGGGGACCACGTCGCTGGCTGTTGAGATTCATGTGGCCGACCAAGCGAGCTGGAGTTGGCTGAGTTGGCCGACATTGTAGGTGATGCTGGTGAAGAAGATTTCTGGCAGATGCTAATGGTTCGAAGACGGCTGCTGAAGAAGACGCCACGAAGAGAGCAGTCACTTTTTGTATCATTCGGTATCGTAGGGTGAATGCCAGAGAATATATCTTATTCCTTTCGGGTGTCTTAATAGGACGACGAATGCACGGATCTGTTGCAGTTAGTTCAGGCTGCCATATGCAAGTCGGCTACGACAGAACAACCCTTCCGATATTGCGGTGAATCACTGGCGGACCTCCCCTGTGAGACCGTTGAGCGTAACGGACCACTCTAACGCCATGCGGCGCCCGCGTTAGCGGAGAGATTGATGCCGCAGAAGATTGTCCGATCTGCCCTTCTTTGGTGGGTTGAGACCTGTGTCAACTCCTGGTTCAGAATCTCTGGGTGTCCCGAATTTGGATCCGTGTGCTCCAACAAGACATTGCAGAGCCTCGTAGCTGCACCTGGACCTTGAGCAGGCAAGTCAAGAACTGGACCTCATGGCCTCTGCGCCTCTGAGACCGGTCACTGGCGTGCATGGAAGAATACATGTCGTCCAAGGAAGCGATGCAAGACAGTCCTACATGCTTGCTCTCTGAGCCCCCTACTGGCCAGCTCTGAACACATGTCGCTGGTCTGCTTCGTTCGATCGAGATTCCACGTAATTGGCGTGTGCAGCCTTCCGCTGGAGCGTTCGATCACTGCATCATCCAGCCGTGTTTCTGGCGAGCTGTTGCAGCACGACATGCCCGGTCTAGGGTTATTCGGAGATGTTATCAGCGTCTGAAGCCAATGGAGAAGGTCGATGGTGGAGATCAGAAGTGAGGTGAGGTGAGGTTGTGACATCGGCCTCTTCGGCTATTTCCGGCTAAAACCCAGCCTCCGGCCTCCACTGCCATCCCCGCAGTCGCAGTCGCAGCGAGAGAACGGCGGCAACGAGACGAGGTCGGCGCACTTCCCGTCATCCTCGGGCCATGCAGACACGCTTCGCTGCTTGACTCTCGGAGCTGTATCTGCGGAACTCTCTTTTCTTCTTCTCGCGTCGACATGACTTCTTTCGTACGTCGCACCGCCTTTGCCGCATCCTCCTTCTCCTCTCCAGCTTCTGTCTCCGGCGGGGCACGTTCCTTTCCAAGGCCAGTCGCGGCGAAGCTTGTGCAGCGTAGGAACATGGCGAGCCAGATCCCCAAGATCAAGGTCAAGTAGGTCGAGCGATAAGACTGTGTTGTGTGAACGGGCGACTGATATGCGTCGGGTAGGAACCCCGTCGTCGAGCTCGATGGCGACGAGATGACCAGGATAATATGGAAGGACATCAAGGACAAGTTCATCTTCCCATACCTGGACATCGACCTCAAGTACTACGATCTCGGCCTCGAGTACCGCGACGAGACCAACGACCAAGTCACCCTCGATGCGGCGGAGGCGATCAAGAAGTACAGTGTTGGTGTCAAGTGCGCGACCATTACACCAGATGAGGCACGGGTGGAGGAGTTTAAGCTCAAGAAGATGTGGCTCAGTCCGAATGGCACAATCAGGAACCAGTTGGGAGGGACAGTCTTCAGGGAGCCGATTGTCATTGACCGTATTCCACGGCTGGTGCCAGGCTGGAAGAAGCCGATTGTCATTGGCAGACATGCTTTTGGCGACCAATACCGAGCCAAGGACAGCGTGATCAGGCAGCCTGGCAAGCTCGAGATGGTCTTCACACCGAAAGGTGGTGAGCCAGAGCGGATAGAGGTGTTTGAATTTACCGAGAAGCATCAAGGTGGTGTTGCACAGACACAGTACAACACTACCGAGAGCATCTCGGGCTTCGCGCATGCTTCATTCAAGCGTGCAATTGACCTGAAGATTCCCATGTACATGTCGACCAAGAACACCATCTTGAAGAAGTACGATGGCCAGTTCAGAGACATCTTCCAGGAGATCTACGAAAAAACCTACCGCAAGCAGTTTGAGGACCTGAAGATCTGGTACGAGCACCGTCTCATCGACGACATGGTGGCTCAGATGATCAAGAGTGAAGGCGGCATGTTGATCGCGATGAAGAGTGAGTTTTGCGCAAAACTGCCCCACCATCAGGCTTGACACTGACTTTCTGTAGACTACGACGGCGACGTCCAATCCGACATCGTCGCCCAAGGCTTCGGCTCCCTCGGCCTCATGACCTCCGTCCTCATCACGCCCGATGGGAAGACCTTCGAAGCGGAAGCCGCCCACGGCACCGTCACGCGCCACTACCGCGAGCACCAGAAAGGCAACCCCACCTCCACCAATCCCATCGCCTCCATCTTCGCCTGGACGCGCGGGCTGGCGAAGCGCGGCGAGCTGGACGACACGCCCGAGCTGGTCAAGTTTGCGGAGAGCTTGGAGGAGGCGTGCGTGCATGTGGTGGATCAGCAGGGCATCATGACGAAGGATCTGGCGATCAGTTGTGGGAAGAAGGATGATTTTGTCACGACGGGGGAGTATCTGCAGGCGGTGGAGAGGCGGATGCGGCAGGTGCTTAGTGCGAAGCTTTGAGTGGGTTCTTTTAGCTGTTTGAGTGGGTGAACGTGAGGTGTGTGCAGTGGTGTGTGCAGCTTTGATGCGTGAGAGGCGTGGCAGAGCAGACGTGATTGGCGTAGACAGGCCTGCAATTGCGTGAAATCTCAGCCGCCCTGGCCCTGGCGTTGTCATCCATCCCGCGTTCTTCAAGAACTCCCTAAGCGATCGACTTTCGACAAGCACACGCGCTTCGATCCAATTGGTTGCCAGTCGCATGGTATGTTCGCACGTGTTTCCCACGTGGAGATTGCAGGGTTCATGCGTCATGTTGAGCTGAGGGGTCTCCAGGATCTCAAGCCTCTTCGCTTTTCAGCTTCTACGCGCTTGCGTCGAATGTTCCAAAAGCAACACCGTGCACGATAAGGCTTGAAGACGCAAGTGGACAGCTACTGCAGCACACCCTTCGGTGCGTGGAAGTGGCTTCTGGCTCCAGGGTCCACTGGGCCTGTAAGCATGAGCAGTGGATGCACGATTGCCTGAGTTCGACGGGCAGATGGAGCAGCCAGAACAGCGCATCGCTAGGCCGCACCACCCCCACACCTGGACGATCTATTCTGCCGAGTCATGGACGAACAGGGCATCTCGGACGTCGAACTCTATCTCATACAAGATCCTCGCATGAGGCGCCGCCGCACCGGCCAGAGCTGCCAGAAAAGATGACGCTGGCGTGGCTCTAAGGTTTGAGACGGCGCAAGCGGCACGTTACTGGGCCCGCTCGACGGCGCGAGAACTCTGTTTCAACCATTGACAGCACCCTCTCCGTCTTTGGCGTGTAGGGTGGGAGATGACGCCTTGCAGCTCTACTGAATCCTTCAACATCCCGGCCGACCACGTGCTGTGATGAGAGCTTTCGACATCCTGAACATCCGGACGATCTCGTCTGAGCTACTGGGCCGGGTCGTGGGATGATCTCTCCCAGCGCTGTCGATCCAATGGCTCAATCTAGCCCTGTCTCAGACTGCTCCGCCGATAGCATCACCTCATCGTCCGTGAAGCTAGACGCTCAGCCAGCTAATCGTGCAAGCATTTTGCGCAAACAAGCGTGGATTTTGCATTTGCCTCGACCGCAGATCTGCAGTTCTCATCAAGCCGAGTCCATCTTGTCTCAATGCGGTTCCTGCATCTACGTTTAGCGCAATCTCCTCGCATGGCTGCCACGTGGTTGCAAGGATCATGGAACAATACTCGGATCGCTTGCCGCTCCGGTGTGCTTGAAGACTACGATCGCTGCCCCATGCTGCTGTGCGACGATGCAAGCATGTCGTCCTGATGCTGTGCCCCGTCTCCCCGTGCAGTGGTTTTGTGCAATTCGACGTGCATCTGAGATCGAGCTCGGGGTCGAAGTATGGTCCGTCCATTGGTGAGGAGGGTAAATCATGAGCTGCGACGTCCGGTTCGGCGAGAAAAATGTGCACAAGACATCGAAGCCAGTCCATTAGAACATTTACCTCCACCAAATCATCAGTAGCCTCCATCTCACCACCCTGACAATGGAATCGTCCCATACCCAGCATCACGAACCCTCTGGTGAACAGACGTCCTCGACTGCCACCGGCAATGCTCAGCAAGCGTCTGAGTCATCGAATGGACTCGGCGTCTCCATGTCTGGAACCCAACATCAATCCTCCTTGTCCGACAATCAGCCTCGCGACCGATACCAACCCACAGCAGGCCCACAGGCACAGCTGACCGCTGCCGTAAGTTGATTGCTGGTTGGCTCATTGACGTTGCAATGGCAGCACTGACTGACGCGGCTGTTCAGATCTATTCCACGAGTTCGACGACTAGACAATGCTTCCGCCAGAGCTTTGCCGAGCGTCAATCGAGCGCCGGCCACGTCGAGTCGTTCGAAGCCACCTTCCCACATCCTGCAGGTGAGCGCTTGATGTCCGACCCAAGGCAGGCTGCTCGAGAACTGGAAGAGTGCTGTTTGCTCTACCAAGCGAACGAGCCAGCATCGGCCAGTCCTATGGAGCGATGGGTGGCTGCTTCACCGGAAGACGAACCCACATATGTGGACTGGATCTCCTTCCTGAGAGCATACCGACCGTACCACGGGTATCAAACAGCTGTCGGAAGAGCGACATCCAGACACCACCATACACTGGCGCAGGAGACGAGTCCGGGTCACAACGGTTTGCTGGAGCCAGCAAACCAATCGCGAATCACGCACGGGGCCAGCATTGAAAGGACTCCAGCCAGTATGCCGCTGGAGACAACACGCGCCGTTGAGGAGCGCCAGCGTAATAGCTGGCTGGACTTGGATGATTCTGCGTCTCCCGCGATGTCGTCGTCTGGAAGTGGGGTTTCGACGCCAGAGCACATAGATCAGGAGTTGCAGCCGAGAGATCCTGGAGAGATGGTTAGGATGATTATTGCGACGTTTGGGGCTGTTGGTTCTGCTGATGGATACGGTCGTGGCGAGTGAGGTGGATGACTGTTGGATTGCCTGTGCTTGAGACGTGTGTGGTATCACGGTGCATGAGTTCTCGTTTGCGTGGATTTCCATGAAGCGCTATGGATTTTTGGAGGTTGCAAACTCATACTGCCGACCTTGAGATGGTGTGGTCCACAACAGCAAGACAATGTGTTGGAATGATTGTCACGTACCAACCACACGCACCCGTCTCAGTTCACCAGGGAGTACGCTCGCTAGCCGGAGTAAAACCCGCTCTGTCATCGTGCCTCTGAAGTTGCTCTACAAATGTTCAGCCTCAGGACCGAAATGGAACGAGACGGCTTCGATGAAACAGAATCAAAGGATCATTACAGCCAGGTCTCGTGAGCCAATTGTTGGTCGTCGTAGCTTCCCGAGCATGCCATTCGCCAGCCTTACAACCAGCCCTGCCAGGTCCCAGTGCGTTCTCGCTGGAGCTGAGCTTGAGCTATCCGTAAGCGGCAGGACGCTAGAAAGAGATGGAAGCTCGGCTGCTGAAACGGCGACAAGGACCAGAATAACTTCTCGTACCTCCTACTTCTGCGCAAGAGGTGCATTGAAGTGCATGTGCCTGGGAGGGGAGATGGGGATGAGAATTGTCCAGTCACGCCAGAGCTGAATGAATGGGAGCCAATCGTTCAGGTGCCTGATCATTGCTGCATAGTTCGCGCATGTCTGTGCGATGCGTTCCGCATTGCTGCCTGAGTCTAGTTGTTGATTGACGGCAGCTCGCGTCCTGTGGGTTTCCGCAAAGCGGGTGTTCGCATCGAACAGCAACATAGATGACGCCCGCGGCCGGCACCATCCACCATCAGACTATCCTAATCTTCCTATCGAGCAGCTGACCTTTTCACGCTAGGGCCATCATCTGCAGGGGTCTGCAGGTTGTGCATCTGCACGAGCAAAAGAGGCTTCGTCATGGGGTCTTTGGAAGGGCAGAGTTCCATGCGTATTGCAGTACGACAAGATTGAAGCTTGCGAGATGACGAGCGTTGGGTATGCGATGATTCCAGGCATTGCAGCGCTTCGGCATTGCTCAAGAAGTGAAGAGCGAGCGGATGATGTTGGTGGTTGATTTAAAGACGTACCGGTCCCTGTGAGAGTTCAGCGAATCGCGGGTTCTGCCGCCGACTGAGTGGTTGAGCCCAGGAAATCGGATGTGGCGCTTAACTCTGAACCTGACGCTACCAGAGTCTCGAGAATCCTTCCTGGTCTAGAGGCAGATATGGCCTTCAAAATAGCTGCCCACGTCACCTCGGAAACCCTCAAACTTGGAGAGGCCTCAGTCTAATGCGCCTTAGATGATGCGACCCCTGCGGGACGCTTGCCTGCTGTTGAGACCGAAGATTCGACACGAGCTCAGTGGTCGTGCCGGAGAGTGTGTGAGCAGACCTACGACAATCAAACCTGGTATGCACGGCTCAACGCCCGCGGTAGTTGGAACGAGCTCGATGGTGTTTCAGAGTCCCATTGCACCCTCGTCGCCCCGTTTCTAAAGCTGGAGAGCGGTGACGCCCTTTCCGTCGGCTGTGGTCGTTGTTATAAGAAGTAGGCCGTCGCTCAGTATATTGCGGTTCAACCACATTCAGCTTCCATCCTTCCATCACCTTCATTCTTATCTAGCTTGTATCTACTCGTTCAATCAGCACCACCACCAACATCACACACAATGGCTCCGTCGTTGCTTACAGAAGACAACTTGCGTTGCCATACCTCCGGAGGTAATGCCACGAGCACCGTAAGCCATACTCCATCTTTACCCAATGGAACACGCTGACCCAACCTAAGCCTGACCTTGCCCGCGAGGCCAAGGCCTTGATCCACCGAGAAGCCGCCCAAGCGGCCGACAGCCATCACTATCTGACCTTGCACGGCACTCTTGAAAGCTGCACATATCCTTGCCAGAAATGCATCGCAGCAGCAGGTCAAGCCTTACAATCCGGCAATTTACTCGCCGGCATTCAGCCTGCTGGACCGACTGGCCTTCAACCGATAGAAACCTTTTCGATACCAAGCCATATCGAAGATCCGTGGTCCTTCCACTCGAGTACGCAGCAGAGCCGTGCTGCTGTTGGATACGGATCCCATCAGAGCTCCCAAGCAAGAGCCAACGCAGCGGCCGCCGGTGTTCGCGAGGCGGAATTGGCAGGCCGTGCTGCCACGGACGCAGGCGCAGAAAAGAGCTTCGACACCAAGAGCGAAGAAGAGGCCGATGGCAGTCATCAGGGTTCTCCGAGGGTCGGACCGGTCGCTGCTGGCCAGCCTACTGCAGCTCGGGCCTCGAGCAAGACTGCGAGAGAAGGGAAAGGCGTGACGCAGTCTGTGCTCTAAGAAGTGCCGAGCACTCGACGAAGAGGTGGTCGGCGGATAAAGTGCTGGACACCCTTCCAAGGATCGGTCGGTGGAGGAGTGATGGAGGGTTGACCGGGCAGATGGATGTTTTAGTCGGCTTGCGTAATGTGTTTGAGACGCACGCCTTCGGCTGCAATGGTAGACAGTATCGAGACCCTGAACATTCTTTCGTCCGAGTGACCGCATCCACAGAAGAGAATTCACACTCCATCGTTAGTGAATTCGCCAACACTCACTCGCCGTCGGAGCACAGATCAATAACCTCCGTCCGCTTCGCCGCAGGCGCATCAACAGCCTCTTCCGCCTTGCGCTTGGCACCAGTCGCTGCCGATGGTTGCTGATTAAGCGACAGCGGCTGCAGAACACCTTGCGTTCGTGCCCTCGACAGCGCCTCGAACCGCATCCCACGGATATCATCCAGCATGGCCGGATGCTGCAACAGCTGCCGCAACCCCTCCGGCACAGGAAATTCTCGCAACAGACGAAGTACTTCATCCCGTTTACCGGTCCAGGATTCATGAGCAAGACGCTGTTTGCGGTCCGTCTTTGTGATGACGAGTACGGCGGGTCTGCGGGAAGTGTCGGTGGCGAATTCGTAGTGCTCGCGCGCGAAGTTGTAGTCGTAGTTGCCAGATGTGAGGTGCATTTGTAAATGTTTCCGTCTCGGTGCGCCCATCTTGAATTGCCCAACAACTTGTCTGCCGTCGGCAAGAAAACGGGTCAGCTCCTGGCAGTCCTTACCGCCCTCATGGCTGATTGCTGGCCTGACCCAGTTCAGGGCGAGAGGCGGTTCGGCGCCGACATAGTCCAGCACCAACCTGACCAGGACGTTTGTGTAAAGTGTTTGGATGCAATGGCCGTATGGTCGCTTCAAAGCACTCAGTGCGGCGACTTCGACATCGCGAAGCACGGGGACCATGATGGATCTGTTCTGATGGCCATCAATGCGCTGGCAATGAGCTACAAGGACGCGACAGATTGATTCAGTCTCATGAGGAAGGCCAGATTCCAGTAGGGCAGACAGTACGGTGGCAAGGTTGCAAGCGAAGTCGTTGTCCGAGACTCCGCCATTGTGCCGCGAGCCGGTCCGAGCAGTGGCAGAAACACTCATTAGAGTGCATTTACTGAGGGTTGCACGCAGTATGCCGTAGAAAACTTCATCAGCCATTGCCGGTGAGAAGCTTTCGTGGGCAGTCAAACGCCATCGGGCAAGAAACGCCATTGCGAAGCGTGAGTCAGCAGCAGATTCTTTGACGACAGGCACAAGACTGAACAGCGTCAGTAGGTGTCTCATACTCGAACGGGGCGACATACTGATCCCCGAGGAAATCTTCTGACCCAACCTTAACCCCTATGTCTGCTAATGTTGGGCCACCAGACTCCGTGTCGAAGGCTTTGGGTTTGCGGATAGCACTGGCTACTTGGTCAAGGATCCAGGGCCGTACAAGGGGATTTCGCTTGCCCAAGTCGCTACCGAACATGTCTAAAAGGGCGTTCATCGAGCTTGCCAAGAAAGGGTACTTGGACATTGCCTGGTTGAGCCTGTCACATGGTTCAGTGTCCTTGACTGTCAGAAGTCTATCTTCGCTCAACTCACACTTCTCTAGCCTCCTGCTTCTCCGGACCTTCCAGTGCTCTGGCCAAATTCTGCATACTGGCCTTGGGCAGCGGATTGTCACCCCTCTTGACAGCTTCGGAAAGCGCGTGGAATTCGCCAATCTGTATCAAAGCCGCGACAGCACTGTCAATGACATCTTCCGGAAGCGATCCGTAGCCATAGCTGGAAGTTACACTCGCTGCATCGGATTGGTTCTTGCCGATTACAAGCGTGCATATCTCGACCAAGTCTTTCCTGTGCTGAGGACTACAGGTCTTCGCCCTCGAGACTGCCTCGTCCAGTAGGGGTCGCACATTCGCTTTGAAAAGACTTCGTCCGCGCCCAATCGAGCGCAAAAGCAGACCCATCTTGTTGCGGCGTGGCACGAGTACCAGCACCGCGTCGCGATAGAAGTGGGTGGAAGTAGCGCCGTCGTTGCCGGTGTAGCCCGAGTAGTCCTCGTCGTCGGGATCTCGATCGAAAGCATCTGTTTGCACGATGGAATGTTTGGAGATCTCGAGCTCATCCGCAAGAAGCCGTCCATCCATGTGCAGTAGCCTTCTCAACGCCAAATTGTGGTCGAAGACCTCGGTATGCTCATGGAGGTCGCCAGTCAAATGCGCTGGCCCGTATTCATCCTCGTCCTCGTCTTCGTCTTCGTCCTCATCACTTTCATCATCGTAGTAGTTCCACCCTCTGCCCCGGGACATGTAGCTGCGACTCATGCCATACCTATCGTACGGATCGTACTCTTTCTCGCATTCTCCCATTACCGAGCGTTCCACATTCGCCAGGTAGACCTCGAAGTCGTATCTTGCTCTGAGCTGCATCAATGCTTGAGCGCGAAGCTTGTCCGCTCGTTTCAAGGCTTCGAAGCTGAGGCTGGCATCCGTATATTGATGCTCCAACACGTAGACGAGTTCGTTGTCCTTGCTCGACGGGTCCTCGTGGGTACGACGGGACCATGTCTCCAGTGCTTGGTCAAGTATAGTATTTGCTGATGAGTGCGTGGCTGCCGATGGCATTGACAAAGCAGAGGAGGACTTCACGAGATTGTAAGCTAGAACCAGACGCCGGCCTGCGGTGACTTCTTGGATCTCGTGGACTCCATCAACGTACCACGCCGCGGAACACGGATGGTACCTGGTAGTAGAGAACTTCCTCGTCTGACCAGAATGGCGAAGCACAATGTCACCTCCTTCGTGTGCAGACGGCAGGCAGACGATCATGGTTCCAAACATTCCAGGAGCTTTCTCAGAGCTAGTGGGCTTCACTAGCTACCACACGAGTGTGTATGTTCAAGGTGACATACTCTGTGTGAGGCTTGAACATGGCGCCTTTCTCGTATAGCAGCAACTTGTACAGCTGAGCATCAATTGTTGACAGCTCATCCTCAAGGCCAAGCGCTCTGCAAGCCGCGGGCAGGAGGCTAGCTATCAAATTCTGCCACGCATCGCCATGCTGAAACTTGAGCTCGCTGGGATGAATTTCCCATGTCCGGCGGAGAGAGGTGTCCACCATCGTCTGTGGGCCCTTTCCGAAGGGTGCTTCGTGGCTAGCAGCGATGATTCTGTTGGCGTCGGAACTGGTGAGAGGCAGCCCGATAGGCATGCCGTTATCCACAATCAATCCTGGGGCTGAGAAGTTCGGGATCCTATTGAAAGTCGCGAAGCAGTCGTTGCTTTCCAGGAGCTCGAGCGCAGTTTGAAGAGGCATCTTGCACGCCTTGAGCTTGCAGCGCGCAACGCGGTCGTGGTCATCCTCTGATTGTGCCTCACTGTAGTCCTGGGCGTCGCCCTCAGGGTCGGAGCCATAAGCTGCGTCAACGGTAGCCGTCTCGCACAAGCCACATAGTCCCTTCAACTCCGCCAGGTCGTCGTCCGAAAGTGGTGCTCTGCAGACTGCGCAATCATACCGCATCTCGAGGTTGGAGAGTTGATTGGCCTACCTTCTGATCATACAGGAGACTCTGCTCTCTCCTCGTGACATGTTTTGATCGTTGGGTCCGTGCCGTCCACAACGCGTCGCGGTCGCGATCCTGGCTCGGCAGTGGCCTGGACGATGTCTACAATGCTTGCCATATCGAAGCCGCAGGCCATCCTTTGTCCACGCAAGACACGGAAGAGCGCATCGACGACATTTCATCAGCAGCCGTATGTTGGCGAACACCGGGTCGTATGCAGCATTTACGGGTACCTCCCTCCGCCCTCGCCTTCACCTTCCATACCTCGGCCCGATAAGCTTTCTACGAGATCGATACCGATACCGCGTTCCCGTCACCCGTTGCACAAGTGCTGACAGGCAAAGGAGCTTCGTTCAACGTCACCCAGTCTCAGTCTCACTCTCGTCAAACTCCTTCTTCCTTGGTGTCACAAACATCCCAAGGACCGTCCCATGAACAGATGTTGTCTCGACGCCTGAGAAGCGGACATCGACCATCTGCCCCACCGCCGCTCAATGTACCCAAAGCAGCTTCCTATTCGGATTCGCGTGCGTGCGGCTGCTATGCCTCATCGCTCATAGCGCTCCCAACCCACGCGCAGCGTAGCATCGAGCTTGACTCTCCCAAGCAGAGCGGGACCTTGCGGGAAGTCGTCTTGGTGCTCTTGATTCGATGGTCCTTGCGGTACCTGCGTATCTCTCCACCGGGGCTCGCTGGGCCAAAGCAAGGACTTTTCTGTGCATTCTTCCATTCGCACAAACGCCCCCGCTGTTATCTGCGAGCTTCCTTCTTGCGCGTGTTCTCGAACCACCCGTCTGGCTACGCTTGCCGAGCGGGATGTTTGGAGATAAGACTAGTATGACGCAGGGACGAGAGGGTCTGTTTAATAGCTCGGTCAAGGTAGGCGTTGCTAGGACGATTTCTTTACCTTGCTCTTGTGACCTTCAGCTTCCTCCATCTCTTACAGTGCGGCAAGATGGGCGTCTTTTCAGTCCTCACCACCGCGCTTCTGGCGACTTCAGCTCTTGCGAGAAGTCCACAGCATGTCGGCAAGCAAATGCCAGAAGATGCGCTGCAGCGCCGAGGCGAGAACGCACCTGTCCTTCAACCTCGCGGAAAGCCCGCATATGGAGGTCCACCCACCAAGAAACCGATCATCCCACAGAACGCCAACACCACCAAATACGCAGTCGACGGCAAAAACATCCCATTCGTTGATTTTGATGTCGGCGAGTCCTACGCTGGTCTGCTCCCCATTTCTGACGAGGACGACGCCTCGGAGCTCTACTTCTGGTTCTACCCGTCCAACAACCCGGATGCCGACGACGAGATTTTGATTTGGCTCAATGGCGGTCCCGGCTGTTCGTCGCTCGAAGGGATCCTGCAGGAAAACGGACCTTTCATCTGGCAATACGGCACCTACAGACCAGTGCAGAATCCATATACCTGGGTCAACCTGACCAATGTCGTATGGGTCGAGCAACCTGCAGGTACCGGCTTCAGCAAGAAGAAGGGCACTCCTGCTGCCACGAACGAGCTAGAAGTGGCCGAGCAGTTCTTGGGCTTCTTCAAGAACTTTGTTGATACCTTTGGTTTGCACAACCGCAAGGTGTACATCTCTGGGGAGAGCTATGCTGGATACTAGTATGTCGGCACATCAGACTATACTTTCCAAGGGCAATACTGACAGTTTCTACAGCGTCCCGTACATCGCCGATGCCATGCACAACGAAACCAACACCGAATACTACGACATCCAGTCCATCCTCTTCTACGACCCTTCCACCAGCTACAACGTCGTGCAAGACCAGATACCAACCGTGCCATTTGTCGAATACTGGGCTCCGCTTTTCAGCCTCAACGACACCTACATGGACCACCTCCGCCACTTGCACCAGGAGTGCGGCTACGCTGACTTCATGGAGACGGCTATGCAGTTCCCGCCCAAGGGTCCTCTGCCTACGCCTCCTCATCCGAACATCAACGGCGGTAGCGGTGGGCGTTGTGACATCTGGGGTGATGTTGTTTACTACGCAGCGCCTGCTGTTAATCCGTGTTGGGGTATGTTGCAGAATCAATCCCTCCGTATACTCTAGAGCAAGTTGCTGACCCGCTTTGAATCCAGACGTATACCAAGTCGCAACCACCTGCCCGAACCTCTGGGACGTCCTCGGCTTCCCAGGCTCCTTCTACTACGAGCCCGCGCCGTGGTACTACTTCAACCGCACGGACGTGAAGAAGGCCATCAACGCGCCGGTAGATACCAACTGGGCAGAGTGCTCGGGCGGTGTGCTGGATAAGGATACTTCTCCGCCCAGTGGGTTGAGCGTGCTGCCGAGGGTGATTGAGAAGAATAACAAGACGATCATTGCGCATGGGATGTTGGATATGATTTTGATCAGTGAGCTTTTTCTGTTACCTAGAACTTGGCCTGGGCATCTGCTAATGAGCTGTCACTAGTGAACGGAACCGTGATGATGATCCAGAATATGGTGAGTCTGCCCCTCCCTTCTTCCATCATAGATGGCGGCTAATATCGAGCTTGAACAGACCTGGAACGGCGCCCAAGGTTTCCACACGCCCCCGAGCCAATGGAACGACTTTTACGTCCCCTACCACAGCGAACTCAACCAGGGCTCGACGGCCGGAGCAGGTGTTTTCGGCCAGTGGTGGGAAGAGCGTGGATTGACGTTCAGCACGGTCGACTTGACCGGCCATATGGTTCCACAGTATGCACCTGCGGCTGCTTATCGGCAGCTGGAGTATTTGCTGGGGAGGGTTGATAGCTTGGGCGAGGTGTCGGATTTTACGGTGAGTTTATGGTATCCCAGAGCATGTGGAAATGGATACTGATGATTGTTGCAGACTCAGAATGGTGACTTTGGCAACAACCCGTAGTGCTGGAGAGCAAGATGGGGATTGTGGGCATGTCGGACGTATGATACAGGTTTACATAGCATGTTACACGCTGCAATGCCACCTTCCAGTCAGCGCTCACTGCCATTCAAGTTTCGGTATCTGTACAAATAGCTCCATCTCCTCTCCTCGACCGCTTCGTGAACCCTCCCCAGTATTCTACAAGCCACATCTCTTCAACCGCGCATGAAATCAAGCATCCCTCCCCCAAAGCGCCTTCCTAGCCTTCCTCTCCTCCCTCGCCTCCGTCTTCCTCCTCCCCCATCTTCTCTTGATCGCCTCCAACTGCCTATCCTGCTCCTTCTTCACCGCCGGCGCCGAGCAGCACAGACTCACAAAAAACTGCGAGCACTCAAACTTCTCCGCCAATCGCACCCGCGTCCATTGTCTTGGGTCTTCCTCGCGCAGGCGCCGGATCTCGTCGATTTGTTCGCGGCCGAGGTGGTACTTTTTCTCGTATTGCGGGCGTATGGAGCGGAGTCTGCTTGCGGATGCGGAGGCTTCGTTGGGTGAGGAGGTGGAGGGGGTGGAAGGGGGTGTGGTGGTTGATGAGGGGGCTAGCGTGTGCAGTTTTCTCCTTGGATCTGATGCAGGGAGAAATTTGGAGGGTGTATGGTAGACGTTTGGCGCGCTGGACGGCGGATTGAAGATGATGTGGTCGGTGGGTTCGGTTTTGGAGGGTGCGAAGGAGGGATCGGGCTTCACCCTGAGCGCTTTGCGCGTGCGGCGGAACGAGGAGGCATTGCGGCGGCAGGCCTGGCAGATGAAGCTGGCGGTGTCGTTGGGGAGGGTCGATGGTCGTAGCAGACTCGAGAAGAGGGAGGGCGCCATTGTGTGGATGGTGGTGGTGTTGTATGTGATGTCGCTGAAAGTCAAGATTCCAGTCGCTTTGTTGCCAGGGCTTTTAGGCTGAGTCAGCGGCGGACCACAACATTGAACCCTTCAGCATCTTGACCTCGCCCTTTCCATCTCGTCAACGCGAGCAACATGCGTGAATGTACACCATGCTGATAGTTGTCGCTCTTCATGCTCAGGAGACTCGAATTACACCGCTCGTCTGCTTGTTGTCGCAATGAAGAAGCCTCTGATTAACTCCAGAGCTCTTCGACCCAGAGACGGCTTCCTCGAGCGAACAGCACGACAGTGCACTACTTTCCGAACCATATGTCGTTCGGCGGCTATCACAGTAGTCCATCGATTTCTAGCGGTAGGATCATGGCACGAGTACGCTATGCGCGCCCTCGAGCTATGCCGAGCGGTCAAGCAAGATAAGACTCCCGGGCTAGAAGCTTGCCTGGGCTACCTTGGACATCACCTTCCAATGTAGACCAAGGACGTTATCACCAAGCGACCTCTTGACGAGCTTAGCTGCAGTAAATGACTCGAGAAGATGGAAGTATTAGCAGACGGTATCAGTATATCTACATCTTGTTTCTCAGAACTTCCTGCAGTATCGATCGGACTTCAACCAGGAAGGTCGCGAGCTTCAACATGGCCTTGACTACGGGTGCTGACATTCAGCAAACATCCGTCCAGGGTGATAGTAAAGTCGGAGGTATTGTACAGGTATCCGCAGACGAGAAGCCAGTCCCACCCGTCGCCAACAATGGCAACGAAATCGGTACGCAACATGTACAAACTCACAGCTGAACTACCAACACTGATTAATCCGAACCTCCACAGACAACGGCCTCCAACGCGGCCTCAAGAACCGACATCTCGTCATGATCAGTTTCGGCGGCGTCGTCGGAGCCAGCATCTGGTATGGGACTGGCTTCGCCGTCGCCTACAGTGGACCGCTGGGCTCTTTGATCTGCTTCTTCATCATCGGCGTCGATGTGTTCTTCGTCATGCAATGCCTGGGTGAGATGTCGACGCTGTTTCCGATTCAAGGGGCGTTCATTGAGCTGGCTGGAAGATTTGTTGATCCGGCGCTGGCCTTTTCCATGGGATGGAATTATTTGTACGTTTAGCCGGCCTGAGGGCTCCCAAAGATGGTGTCAGAGACTATCCGACTCACTTGGGACCTGCTCGCCTGCGTTCAACGTCAGAGAACTCTGCTGACATCCCTTTCCAGCTACCTCTGGGTTACAAACGTCGCGAGTAAGCAGTTTACACCCCTGCGTGAATGATGAACTGACCGAAGTATGCAGACGACTTCAACGCCAGCTCCCTGATCATGGGGTTCTGGACAGACGCCGTGCCCTCCTATGGTTGGGTGCTGATTTGGTGGGCATTCTATCAATGCACGACGCTACTCGGCGTTGTCGTGTGGGGAGAGATGGAGTTTTGGCTAGCCTGTTGGAAGTTGATGTGTATATTGGGTGGCTTTCTCGCTGCCATCTTGATCAACACAGGTGCTGTCGGGGGTGATTACATCGGGTTTCGGGTGGGTCGCTTTTATTTTCCTGGCGTATGGAGCATGCCAATGCTAAGGACGTTACAGTACTGGAACGAACCAGGACCAATTGCCAACGGCATCAACGGTTTCGGACAGACGTTCCTTCTCGCTGCCGTCTACTATTGTGGTACGGAGATGCTTGCCATCACCGCAGCAGAAAGTCGCAACCCGACCCGAGATCTGCCGAAGGCTATCAAGAGGACATTCTGGCGCATCTTGATCATCTTCATGTAAGTTCGTTTAGGATTCCGTCCGGACCATTGACATGCATCGCTGTCTGCTGATCCGACGCAGGGGGTTGTCCTTCTTCGCTGGCCTGCTCGTGCCATCAGGCAGCAAGGACCTTCTCACGGCGGAGAACAAGTCTGGTCTGTCCCCTTGGACGATCGCCTTCGAGAAAGCTGGCGTACCGGCGATGGCTCATGTCGTAAACGTGGTGCTGTGAGTGACTATCTACAGCGCGGTGATTCCCTGCATCCTGACGCAGTTCGCAGCATCACCGCTCAACTCTCATCTATGAACTCCGCGGTGTATGTCGCCTCTCGTAGTCTCGTATCACTAGCCTCGAGTGGTCGTGCGCCAAAGTTCTTTGCGAGAACAACGAAGAACGGAACTCCAGTGCCTGCCTTAGTTCTGTCAAACGGACTAGGTCTGATCGCTATGCTGAACTACAAAGCTGGACCTGGTCTGGTCTTCACGTATCTCATCAACATCAGCGGCTCCGCAACGGTTCGTCGTCTTGCAGTCCCTTTGTTCAAACCATGTCTGACTGATCTACAGTTCATCGCCTGGGCCATCATCGGCATCATCCACCTCCGCTTCCGCAAGGCCTGGAAAGCCCAAGGCAACACGCTCTCAGATCTCCCCTACCGAGCCATCCTCTTCCCGTACGGCACCATCTTCGTGGTCGTCATCAATATCTTTCTGGTCATAATCGCCGGCTACGCAAACTTCATCGGCTCTTTTGACGCCATTGGCTTCGTCGTCAATTACGTCGTGGTGGCGGTGTTTGTGGTGCTGTATGTGGGATGGAAGGTCATTAAGAAGACCAAGGTGGTGCCATTGATGGAGGTGGATCTTGTGACGGGAAGGAGATTTGCGAGCACGAGTGTTGGCATTGACTCGGAGACAAAGAGGCAGGATGTTGCGTGGTATGTCAAGGCTAAGAGGTTCGTGTTTAGTTGACCTGCTTCGCAAGCTTACGGCCAGGGGGTTGGGAGTACAGCCCTATAGAAAAACGAAACGACTGTCACCTTACTAGTTAATCCCTACTCCTCAGAGTGTCTGGAACGATTCCAACACTGTGAGACCCCAAGTGAAGTATAAAACAGCAGATGTCGGACCTCCACCGTTGAATGACCAGCTAAACTCCCCCTGGGCCTCACCAAACCAATGGACCTCCCGCTGACCTCACTTCACTCCACTCTTCCATTTCGCCTCCTGCTTGATTTCGTCCAGCATCTTCTGCTTCACTCCAGATAAGGCAAATCAAGCACAGCGGCACCACGATAGAAACAACCACTGTGGGGTGAACAGGTCGCCATGGATACGCCAATGCCTCTCAGACCTGCACCAAGTGTGCGAAACAAAATGGGGTTGGTGCTTTCAGGAAGAATAGCCTGATTCTGAAAACATGCGAGGACTGCCGGGTGCGCCTCACAACATACCAGATAGGAGCTACCGTACTGTACTGACCGTCACAAGCACGGCAGGAGGCTCCGGGAGCAACGACACCGAGATCGGCAGAAGGAGGAAATGAAGAAAATGACAGCCCAGGCGGCATCCACAGAGCCTCAAAGATCTGAACCGCCACCCTCAACTGCGACAGGTCAGGAATGGGACTCATCCGCCTTCTCGGTGGAAGTCACAAATCCATCCACAGCCGCTCGGACAGAGCATGTCGAGGCAGACAAGCTCAAGTAACAAACAGCTCGACCTCTTGCCTCCCCTCACTACGGAGTGTTCGCCTGGAAATCACAGGTACCAAGTCAAGTACTCAACCCAGCTCTTGCGGCCCATCGACGAAAGGAGCAAGCAGATCGTCTGTATAATACTATGATGTTGTCGGAGGAGCAGGACGGTGGTTGAGCCGTGATCAGAGGACGTGTAGCATCACAGCGCGCCTATGGCTGGGAAAGCTTGGACGGCGGCCGAAAGCGGCTTCATGGAATAGTACTACTCATCGACCCATGACGGCGCCCATTGAGGAGCTGAGGGAAGGAGGGCATTTGCGATAATAGGCGATGACGAAGATGGCATGGTTGCGGAATGATGATGCTGAAATCCTTTTGCAGCAATTGCGGGTGTGATATAACAAGCAGATCAGAAGCGAGGGTCGGCGTACCTACACACTTACTGGAGGATGGAGAAGCAAATGAGTCGATGGAGTTCAGCTTCTGTGAGATCGACGAAGGCGAGGGTGGAGTGACTGAACAGGATGCTGAATTGGCGAATTGCCATTTTAGCCATGCTTCATCATGAAGTAGAAATCACCCTTCATGAGTCTCGGCCCAATAAGTGTATGTCTACCTCTAGCTGGCTGTGTTCACTGCAATCAGCCTCCCGCTTACTTTCGGCGTTTTCGGTATCTGCTCGCTCGATCGGAGACTCCACAACGAAGCAGTCTTTCCACTCCACTTCACTTCTTAATCGTTACCCCGCCGTCGACCGTGATGTCCTGCCCTGTTACAAATCCACTCTTGACAAGGTACTCCACAGCCTGCCAGATGTCCGAAGGCCTGCCAGCCCTATTGGTCGGGTGATGGTCCTTGTCGTCCTCCGTCAGGTTCTCCTCGAACGATACACCCTTCTCATCGCCTTCCTTGCACTCATGCGCCACCTTGATCCTCCCAGGAGCGACGAGGTTGACCCTGATCCCCCACTGCTGGCACGTCACAGCCATAGAATGCATCAACCCCAGCTGTCCGGCTTTGGTACTAGCATAGCCCTCCTGGTTGGGATCAGATTGCAGAGCGCGGAAGGACCCGACGTGGATGATACAGGGTCCTGAGGAGGCTGTGTGCTCCAGGTCGGCCTTGCTGGTCACTTTCATGTACGGGATGCAGGCGGAGGAGCAAGCGAAGGGACCGGTGAGGTTGGTCTCGACATAGGCTTGCCATTGGTCTAGCACTTCGGGATTCTCCATCGTCATGCCGTTCTTCCAGTGGGGGGTGGCGATGCCTTGGTAGAATGTTAGTAGGAGAAGCAAGTGGGGGGAGGGTCATCATACCGCCATTGTTGATCAGCACATCGATTCTCCCACCGAGGAACTCTGCTGCTTGCTTAACTTTGGCGCGAACGTCCGAGACGTCTCGCAGGTTGCAGATGGCCGAAGAGACTTGGGAGCCGTAGTCTTTGAGGTGGACATTGGTCGTGTGATAGAGTTCCTCCTCGTCAATGTCAAGGATGAAGACTTTGTTTCCACGCTGGAGGACTGATACTTTATCAGTGTCATATTCCAGTGAAGATATGTTGTTGATGGACTCACAGTTCCTGGCGAGTGATCTGCCGATGCCTCTTGCCCCTCCAGAAATCAGCACGCTTCTAGCTTCGCCACTCTTTCCGTTCATGTTGTCTGCCATCTTTCTTTCGTTTGCAATCAGATGTGTGAGCAGTTGAGAAGTTCTTTCCACGAAAATAATCGCATTGAGGTGAAGTTGAATGGCCTTGGTATGTTTACGAAATTCGTCATGATGATGCTTGTGTTTCTCCATCAACCACTCTGTGCAACATCAAGCGAGATGCATTCACTTTACAATCACGTGCTGACCTCACCTCCACAGTTGCATGTGATCGTGTTCATGTGATTGTATCCATGTGAATGCGACTCGTGAAATTGTCCTATTTGTTGTGCGGTCCCATACTGACATTCCGTGGCCGTGCCCCGAGAAATAAGAAGACAGCCTAAGACTTGTACGCAACATCTCTCAGAGGCGTCTGTTTCAATGAGTGGTTTGGAGATGTGTCGTGTTGTAAGATGGTCCCGGTCTTGAGGACGTCGTTGTCACCATCTGAGACGTCTAGAATGTCTGCAATGAGTACGAAAGCTCGGGAAGAGGAGATGGACACTCTTGCTTCGCGTTACATTCATTCCTTATCCATTATCAATCCAGTGGCTCAATGCAACGATTCCAGGACGTCAAGACCTGATGGTACTTCGTTGCGACCCCGAACTCCGATCAACTCAGCACGGGTGCCTCCGCGGTGCCGCCCATTTGGGATCACCGTACCTACTTGCGTACGATGAGTCAAGGCTCGGAGTTGGCACTGCTTAAATGCTTTACTTCAACCTCACATCCATTTCCTTTGACCTCTGCCCTTCCACAATTTGTTTCTGGCAAACAAGAGTTTTGCCTGCTCCCGTGGACTTCATCGATCGATCGCGACCATCGCGTGGCTTCGGCATGCTTTTAGCGTCTAGCCCATTCGGGAAGGTGGGAAAGGGGTTCTGTGCCACGCGGCAGATCGATCACCCAACCCTACACAACGTCCTGCCAGGAGCTGACAGCTTGTTTGATAGCAAACACCAGAGCAGGCGGCCTGACATTGAGTACCGCCCCGCTCTGTCCCAACGGACTGTAGTCCTATTGCAGGGTTGCTCTACAGCGGCAGTCTATCTCCTCGAGACCCCAGCTGTTGTCCGACGCGGTTTTCTGCACACTCCATCTGGAACCAGAGCCGAGGCACCCACCCTTCTTCGACCCTTCCATGCAGTAGCGTGGGTGGTTGCATGGTGAGGATGCAACCTTGATATCTCTCCGGCACCGTACTCGCACTCACTCGGATGAGCGGGAGTAACTACGAGTAGGAACTGTGACAGACTACTTCTACACGACAGGCCAGCAGACGCGATATATGGAGTGTATGGGATCATGGGAGATGGACAGGGCGGTTCACCATCGCCATGTAGAGCCGCCACGAAGGTGCTCGTGCCGCTTGAGCATCATTCGGGGAAACAAGCACGCTTGGCAAGAGCTTGTACTGCTTCTATCCGCCACTCGCTTGAAGCGACGCGATTGCCTGTACGAGAGCTAGGCCGACAGTGGAAGGTCGATGGAGACACCCCAGCTTGGTGGCTTCTTTGCGCGATACCAGCAAGAGTTATCCCGGCCACTCTTTCCCGAGTGCAGACGCCAGCGCCGTCGCGGCTTCGATCTTCACTCGGCGAGCGATTTTGCAGCTGACGGTATCCGCTATCCACAGCGATTCATCGATTTCCCGAGGAGTGAACACGAGCTGTCGCGGAGATCTACACATCCTCCGTACTACCCCAACTAGGGCACGCGACATGGACCCTTCTGATAACCACTGGTCAATGCTCTAAGCAGAAGCGATAACGTTTGCGACAAGCCTTCCATTGGTTGTAGCTTGGCACCAGACTCATTCCAGACTGTTCTCTGCATTGCCTGAACGACATCCCATTGGATCTGTGCTGCAGTCGCTTGCAGGAGACAACTTCCCGAACGTGGGATGCTCCCCTGCTGTGTCCCAAATGAAATGGGTGGCTTGATCCGATAGATCAGCAGCAACCCAAATGTTCATTAATACCCCTCGTCCCTTGCATTCTGATGCTTGCTCGCAATCTCACTTTTCTTGCCATCTCTCAGATATTGTGTCTCGAGAGCGGACTGCGCTCTCAACTTCCTTCAAAATGTCTGCCGTGGTGCCAATCGGCATCCCTCATCCTTCCACCGTTGAAGTCTCCAACGATGACCCAGTCCTTCGTGCGAACTCCATCATCGAGGAGAAACACCCTGGCCTCATCGAGAGACATCCTGAGATCCGAGAACGGACCTGGGGTCTCGCGGCACGTACTGATCCCACCGTCAGCATATTCGAATATTTCTATTGGGCCAAAGTCGAGCGCGAGATCGAGCAGAATGAGAACCGCAAGTACATTGAGTCTCGCGGCAAGATGACCAACCCGACTCGTCTCATCACCGATCGCTTCTCCAAGGGCACTCATCATGAAGCCAACAGCGAGGCCAAGGCTCCGACTGCTGAGATCACTTCGAAAAGTTCCAAGGAGGACGTCATGGCAGTGACTGATGCGGAATGGCGAACGGCTGCTCGTGCTCTTAGGACTGCTGGCTGGGGTACGATCTTCTATCTTGTGACCACCGATATCCTGGGATGGTCCAGCTCTCCGTGAGCGCCTTCCCAACCTCCAGAAAAGCCGAAAAGACCTCAAACTGACTCTGAACAGTGCCGTCTTCGCGGCCGTCGGGTTTGGACCTGGTGTGGCCCTCTTCGTCATCTTCGGCGCTGCTGCTGGCTTCTCCGGCTGGAGTCTTTGGAAAGTGTACATCGGCCTTGATTCTGCTCGTTTCCCAATGATCAGCTTCGGAGATCCTTACCTTCGTCTGTTTGGTCCTCGCTGGCGCCACTGCATCAACTTCGCTCAAGCACTGCAGCAGTTTCTCTCTGTGTGTGTGGTCATTCTTGGGAACGCCACTGTGCTTGATCAGATGGCGAAGCAGAAGATCTGCTTTGCCGTAGTCATTGTTATTATCACAGTGGTCGGCATTATATCTGGATTCGTTCGTACACTGCAGCGTCTTGGCTGGATGTAAGTGGGCCGTCGTTCACTGCTACCGAGTGCTATACTGACAGCCGGTTCAGGTGCAATTTATCCGTCTGGCTCAACGTGGCCAACTTCATCATCATCATGTATGCCGCTGGCAACAACGCGATCGATTACGCGGCCGTCCTCGCATCTACGATCATTACGAAGGTGCGGCCAATTCGCACTTTCGCCAGTCAGCCGCCGGACATGTACCAGCAGGCCACACCTGGATTCGCAAGTCAGTTTGGCGCCGTCGGGACCATGGTGTATGCGTACGCCGGCGCTCTACTGTTCGTCGCTTTTATGGCTGTAAGTTCTCATCGGAGGGTGTTCGAGAGTATACCGTCGGAGCCATCGCTGACACTTTTTCGCAGGAAATGCGGCATCCCATGGATTTCTGGAAGGGTATGCTCTGCGCTCAGGTCTTCATCTGCTTCACCTACATCCTCTTCGGAGCCTACGTCTACAGTGAATGGGGCCAGTACGCCATCTTCAACATCAATACCGTGGTGCAGCCACGTGCCCTGCAGACTGCTGGCAATGCTCTGACATTGATAACTGGCTGGTTCGCAGTCTGTATGTTGTCCTCCAGTCCCCCGCCCGCTTGATCTCGCTGATGCATTCCCAGTCTTATACGCCAACGTCGGGCTCAAGACCGTCTACCAAGAAGTATTCATGGAGATCTTCAAATTTCCTCCCGTTGGAACCAAGAAAGGAGGATGGTGAGTCGTGTCGTCTTAAAATTACCAAGCCAACGTCTTACATCTGTTAGGTGCTGGTACATCATCAGCCCAATCTACTGGTCTCTGGCCTTCGTCGTCGCCACTGGAGTACCCAACATCCAAGGCCTTGTCTCCTTCATCGGCGGTCTCTTCGCGCTCAACTTCACCTACACATTCCCGGTCTTGCTCTTCCTCGCCTACAGTATCCAACGTGGTGCGGTGCAGGATGGCGAAGGTTTCGATCCGTACACTGGTGTCACTACTCAGCACGATTTCGGCATGAAGCGATTGAGTCGCGGTTTTATGAAGAAGTGGTACATCAATGTTCCGGTGACGCTCTTCATCCTGGGTGCTTTGGCTTGCTCGGGAATGTCTACTTGTGAGTTGCTACTGGTCGCATCAGATGTTGTGGACGTCGCTGACTCAATCTTAGGGGCTGCCATTGAATCCCTCATCTCCATCTTCGGTCCCAATGGCACTAACGCGACCCACTTTGGTTGTGGGAGCCCGACTGGGTGATCGAAGATATGGCACCCAAAGTTTATGCTTGACGGTGGAAGCTCGTTTTTGCCGTAAGGCAAAATGCAATGATGTAAAGAACTTATTCCGAGCTGTAACAAATCTCAGCTTCATACACAGATGTACGGCCGCAATGCTACTTGTACAGTCAAATCACTCTTCCCGAGACTTTACGCTTTTTCTTCTCCGTCCAGCGATCGAATTTGGTCAACGATGTTCTATTAATGGGCCATGCGCTTCTCATCCGCCTGGCTCTGGGAGCGCAGTACCCGAGAAGAAGACATTTGCCCCACCACCTCAGGGTTCGCGAGCGCATGTTGCTGACCCGAGTGCTTCTCTGCGTGCGTCCATGTGAGCTTCCTCCCCAAGAGGGCGGGTACTCCTCCAATCTTCTGCTTCGATAACCGCATCAAAACAACCAACAAGCAATAACTCAACACCCCTTTGACAGCCTGCCACTGCATATGAGAAGGACTGTTCAACGGCGCCGGCAGCGTCATCAGCGAGTTGTAGTAATGGAACCGGCCCTCATAAGAAGCATTTCCCAGGCCGCGGCGTCCTCTGCATTGCGAGACCCATTTGGTCGTAGATTGATTGCTTCCACGTCCACTTTGGGTCCAAGAACGACATGATTTTGTTGTTGATCTGGCTTCTCCAAGTCCTTTGGAACAAGCGTGCTTCGTTCCTGTCGCAAGCGGCGTCGCTCACGCTCTGCAGTCGTTCATGAACCGATCTCTCTGCTTTGCCTACTTCGCACAACGTCCGCCGCCAGTGGTTCCAGAATTCCAGATCTCGTTCGACTAATGCCAACTCGCAGTTTTGCGACACGTCACCGTCCTCAGAGACGGTGCAAAGGCTTCTTGCAGCATCTGCAGCGGCTCTGTAGCAAACGGCCGATCCGGGATGGTTGGTCTTGTCCGGATGTGTTAAGAGCATTCGCCTTCTCATTGCCCTCCGCACTGTTGCTTTGTCGATGTCGCTGAGGTACGGGTCGCTGTTGGATCGGCCTCGTAGGCCCAGATTCAGGGCTTCATCGTTCCAAATGCGGTTGTACTGCCGGATACCGTGACATGCCTGAGTTGCTGTGTGAGTGAAGATGAGGCTTGCCAATGGTTCGGACTCGATGGTGTGAAGGTATATGGCGGACAACGTAATTGGCAGCAGAGGAAGGATCGGAAGGAGAAGAGCGGAAGTAGCAAATGATGGTCTCATCGTTGGAAATGTTATCACGCCAGAGTCAGAAACTGAATATCCCTATCCGGTGCACAAACAATCAGAACAAAGGATAATGCACCTCAAAACCATCCATCATCGACGACCAAGCAGCATGGTCATAATTGACCGTAGGTCTAACTCATCGTTGTACTGAACATTCATGGCCTAATCAACAATCACTTCTTTGTTAGGAATGCGAGAAATACCCACAACGCAAGAACCACGATCATACAGGTGTCGAGGAAGCGTTGCCCATGACATCGTTGTATACATACTTCATTCTCTGTAATGTCGATTCTGTGACACGACGGCCTACAAGAATGCAGCACTGCTCACGGGTGACGGAACGCCACTGCTCGCGAACATCGACATGCTGCTCGCGCTCGAGGGCAGCGGCACAAATGATTCTGTGTGAGTCGTCTCAGCCGTCCCGTTCGTCTGGTACGTCGGCGTAACAGCCTCGCTGCCATCAGCTAACGCCAGGTTCCCAAGCACTCTTCGGAATGCCTCCAAGCTTGCTTTGGGTTGGTAGTATGGGACCTGCACATAAGAACGTCAGCAGATGTTGTACTTTAGGCGAAGTGTGAATCTCTATCTTACCTCGTGGCCCGCCTCGTAGATTCTCATAAACGAGAACTTCCCGTACTCTTTCACCTCACCGTACTGGGTGCCATCGACCATGAACGGCTCGTACCCAGCCTGACGGAACTCCTTCGCATGCTCGTACTCTAGCTGCATGGAGACAGCCTCGCCTCCGAACCAGTTGCAGATGTAGTCGGCGTCACCGTAGATCAGCGCGACACGCACACCATTGTTCAGGATCCTCTCCAAGTCGTGCATGAACCTGCGGTAGACAAAGTCGCCGGTTCTTGCGAAGCCGCGGCCGACGAACGGGGAGTAGGCCTGAGTGTAGTTGAGGTCCACACCCAGTGCGTTCTGGATTTCGGCCTGGTTGAGGTAGTCCTCGAAATAGTCTGGTGGGGTGGGGTCGTCGTACGGATGACGGATATCGTATACACCACGACCGCCGTAGTAGTAGTAAGGCTCCTCGACGAAGCCACGGCAAATGTTGGTGGCGAACTGGCAGGTCCGCTGTCCAGCTACGGTGCGCTTGTCGGAGTACACGCAGTACAAAATGTAGTCATGGCAGCCACCAGGGATGTAGTAGGCGGTCTTCATGAAATCGTAGATGGTCTCATTGATCGCCTTAATGCCGTACGTATTGAAGCGGGCGAACTCTGGGTAGTACGGTGTTTGGATGAGAGAGTCGATAATGCCGTTGATTATGCCGAGAGTGTCCATGTTAAGGTGGACACCAGACTGCTCTCCACTGCCGATGAGCTCGTTTTGCTGATAAAAATAATCGTAAAAGGCCGGCCCGTAGTGCCCACCTGGAGAAGTGAAGACAACCAGTCAGCATTGATCTCAAACAGCAGTAACATCGTGGACCTACCGTAAGACTCAGTCCACAGATTGAACGTCCTGTTCTTCGCCGTGTTGTCCAGCTTCGGCAGGTTCGTCAAGAAAGCCTGAAGAATCTCCCAAGTCCCAACAGCAGAGATGTCCGTACTATCGAAGCGGTCCGGGTCGACGTAGGAGAATCTGCCTTCATTGGGCAGAGTCGTTGCATTGTTCGGCTGGTCGAGCACACGACCGGAATTGGGGTTCTGGTAGCCTTCTTTCTTCCTGCCGTAGGAGAAACCGACGTCAACTTGTGGTAGGTTAGCGGTGATGGCCTTTTTGACACTCGTTTGTTTCAATGCTCACCAGGCTGAGAAAGGAACAGCATGTTGCTGACGTTGTTCCACGCATACGGGTTCAATTGGGACTTCAAGTCCTCTGTAATGCTGCAAGGTCCCAATTCCTGGAAGAGACCGATCAGACTGTCGCTACCAGGACCTCCATTGAGCCAGAGCGTGATCGGCGCCGTCTCTGGGTTCTCGCGTGCTTCGAAGTACCTGTGAATGATGTCAGCAGGCTGTCCTCGCTCCAAAGGCAGGACGAGACGGACCAAAAGAACCTGCAAAAGGGTTAGCAAATGTCTCAGACATGGGAGTGTCTTGCCCATGGGTTTGGTACATGTTGGTTGTCTCATTGAGGCTAACATATCCACTGTAAGAGTCCACGCCGGGTGTAGTCTCACACACCCCAGCTTTGCCAGGTTCCTTGTACCGAATCTCGACGCCATTGGGCGAGGTGATTGTCTTGACACCCTGAGGTTCGGCGGGGAGTTGTCGTTTCGTGGGAGTGGCCCAGACAGAGGGCGATAGCAATGCTGCCGCCGTGGCGAGCTTGGAGAAAGTGAACATGGTTGCGGTCGGTCCAGCGATTGTTGACAGAACAGAACAACCAGCAGAGATCCAGATCCAGAACAGACACGAAGGGCCGCGGCGGCCATCTTATAAGGACTCACTCGCCCACTTCCTGCCCCATCGCACTCGCACCTGTGCCCCGCAATCTTTCAATCCCACCTGCCCTACTCATCACCGGCTCGCTCTATCACCAAGCAGGAACCCTGCGCGAACAAACACAAACATCGAACAATCGCCCGCCCGCGACACAATCGAATCCATGATGTAATGTGACATCGCGCAAAAGGCAGCTCCGTCGACACTACGGCTGGAACAGGGCAAGCGGCGGGTCGCGTGGTGTTGATAAGATGTTCAGATGTCTCGGCGGAGGATGAACAAGGCGGCGGTTGCGGTGGTGGAGCTTGAATCAGGAAGGTAAGTTGTGTTTGCCAATGTTGCCAAGGGCCCACCTGAAAGTTTTCAAGGTTGTGTGTGTGGAGGTGAGGTCGGGGAGATACGTACCTCGGAGGTCGGCTGGGACAAGATGTGTAAACGAGATAGGCAGTTGTGCAGTTGCACCGCGGGTGGAAAGAGACGGTAAACACCGCCAAATCTGTCAGTAACACCAGATTTGACACAGATATGTGTTACGCAGGCTGGATACAGTGACCGCTGCTCCACCTTCAGGATGATGACTCGAAAGGCAGATGAAGTTGTTGGCATTGAATACTGTATTTGGTGCTTGCTCGAGACCTCCAGACCCCAAGCAGCGTTCTGCTTCTCCCAGGTCGAAGAGTAGAGCATGCGCAGAAAGACCGAACAACTTGCTGAGACAGCCCAAGCCATGGAGTGGGACTGTTCGTACTTGTCCGCCTCCACCTTCCTGCGGCTGTCGGTGTCGGTCAGAAATATCTGTGCCACAGGTGACAAGCAATTCTGTTACCGAAGAGCTTCTTCAAAACATCAAATGTGCACCTGGCCAAGGTAGCAATTATGTTGTTTCAACGACTGTCTCTCTTCGTCGTTCAGGCAAGGGTCCAAGTCTGCTGATGTGCTGACAGAGAGGAGTGACCGTATGTGCGTCAGGGTGTACCGCCGGACAGCCTGTCTTGATCCATGTGGTTCAATCCCCTTCCACCCTCGCCTTCTTCAACCCAGCACCACCCAGGTCCTCACCGCTCCTCTTCCGCTTGGTCTTCACGGCACTACTCCCGCCTTTCCCACCCTTGAGCCTGTACGTCCCGTCCGGATCACGCGACCGCTTCTTCCCACCAGCTGCACCTTCATCCAGCACCAGCTCGTCCTCTTCCATTGCCGCTGACCCAGCGGAAGGGCTCCAGCCTTCTCGTGCCCTGACGACCGCACGGTCACCGACTTGTTTGGCCAAATTCTTGTCCTTGCCTGGTCGCTTCTTCGGAGCTTTGGCCGTAGTGTCGTGGCTGGCTACGCTTTCCGCATCGTCGTCACCAGGATTGGTGTTCTTGTGGTGGATCTTGAGCCAGTTGTGTTGACTCTGCGGGTTCTGCAACTCGACCTGACGTTCCAACTCTCGGGGTGTAAGCTCAGCCCAGTGTTTGCCCTCCTTTGCCAGTACGTCTTGCTCTCGTGACTTGTCGGCAGCGGATGCCAAAGTGTAGTGATCCGGGCCGAACTTTGCGTCCATGCGAGCGAGGTGCTGGTCTTCCTGTTCCGCACCCAGCCATGATCCAAGCTCAGTGTCATCAGCTGTTACGCCCCCCGCAGAGTCATCCGGTGATGGCACGGGCTGCGGCACGCTCTTCTCCAGCGCTTCCAACGACTCCACGTCTTGTGCTGCCAGCCTCGCATCAATCTGCTCGCGAAGTCTGTGAAGATTCGCATTGCCGAAGTTTGCAGTCCGGACTTGAGCGTTGTAGTGGACGAACAGGCCATCGGCTTTGTCTGGGCTGATATCAGGCTCGATCTCGTTCAGAGCGGCTGTGCGGTCGCCCGGGTAGGTGATGTCAAAGCGAAGTTCTGGTGGGATTGCTGGGTTCTGGTTGAGGTCGAGGCATAGTTCGAGAAGGCCGCTGTACGCGTGTTAGCATTGAATGGGTCTGTATACCGCGTTCTGCATTGGTAGACATACTCAAGCTCCTCTCGCAGCCGCTTGGCAATGGCGTCCAGCTTCTGCTCGTCCTTGAAGACGCGCTTGTTCTCTTCCAAAACGCCGTCGAAGTGATGGCGCATCTTCCTGTACTTCTTGCGCCATGACTTGTACCGCGGCCGTTCCAGGGATTGGAGCGACTTGCCGCCGAGATGGGGGTGGGGTGGTCCCGCTGCCATGGTGGACTCCGAGTCTGACATGTTGAGAATATGTGTGAAGTGATCGGAGGGGGCGGTAGAGGTATATAAGGCAAGGGCGCGGTGTTGGGATAAAGTGTGCGCTTAGGTGCTGACAGCAACGACGATCCCCAGAGTCCAGAGTGGAGTTAGGCGCACGGACTATGCTGAAGTCATGTCGTGGAATTTTGGCGATTCGACTTTTCCTCTACATTCAGCAGCAGCGCCTTGTCTAAGGTGACGGTGACGCTACACTTGCCAACCAGCCGTCGCCATGTCGGAAATCATTGTCAAGGCGGAGCCGGTGAAGATGGAGACGACTGACAGCAAGCGCAGACGCAATGAAACCGAGGACGAGCTCGAGATCGATGTCAACCTCCCCGAGCCACCTTCGAAGAGAGCAAAGCGCCGCGAGAAGAAGAGCTCCAAGAAGCCCAACACTGCGGCTACGAATGGCACCACCGCTACGCAAGCCTCCAACGACACGCCGACCGCGCAGCAAGGCCACGACGACCAGTCCGACCTCTACCCCATCACTTCAGACACAGCAGCACCGCAACCCATCCCAGAAGCCGGCAAGCGAGGCGAGCACGGTATCTGGATCGGCAACCTTCCCTTCGACGCCAACCGCGACACCATCCGCACGTTCCTGCAAGAGAAAGGCGACATCAGCGGTGAAGACATTGTGCGCCTGCACATGCCCGGACCAACCAAGAAGTCTGATCGAGCCAACGAGCAGCACAATCGCGGCTTCGCGTACATCGACTTCACGAGCGAGGAGATCAATCAGCGAGCTATTGCTCTGAGCGAGAAGCTGGTGAAGGGACGGAAGGTGCTGATTAAAGATGCGAAGAACTTTGAGGGGCGCCCGGCGAAGGCCAAGGACGAGGATGGCACAGCGGACGGCGGATCGAAGAAGGCACCCTCGAAGCGTGTCTGGATCGGCAACCTGGGGTTCGATGTGACGAAAGAGGACATTCAAGAGCTCTTCGCGCCAGCCGGTGAGGTCGAGGACGTCTTCTTGGCCACGTTCCGGGACTCGGGCAAGTGCAAGGGATTTGGCTGGGTCACATTTGCCTCGCTTGCCACATCAGAGGCTGCCGTCAAGGGCTTCTTCTATCGCGAGACTCTAGAGGAGGATAAGGAGGCAAGCGACAACGAAGGCGGGGTGAGGGTCAATACCGAAGCGAGGTCAAAGAGAGAGAAGGTCTGGGTCAACCGCTTGCAGGGAAGGCCGGTGAAGTGCGAGTACGCGGAGGATGCGCAGACGAGGTACAAGAAGCGCTACGGCAAGGACAAGGACGAGTCGAAGACGGCGAACGGAGGAGGGAAGAGAAGGAGAGACCACGACGGTGTCGCTAATGGTAAGCTAAAAAGTGTTAAGCTATACTTTGCAAGTTCTCGACTGATCCTTCTCTTTCACCGTAGGTACAGATGCAGCCGCAGATGAGTTAGGGAGAAACGAACGCCCTGCCGCCCAAGGCCAAGCATTCGCCTTAACCTCGACATCCCAAACCAAGCCGAAGCCCAAGACCAAGCAGACCGCCGACGAGCGCAGCAACGAGCGTCGCAAGCGTCACGATGCTCGTATGACCGCTCCGGGCCAGGCCCTCGCGAACACCCAGCGCGCGACCGGTGCGATTGTTGCGGGTAGCGGAAAGAAGACCAGCTTTGACTGAGATAGTGGTCTGGGGTGGCGTGACGCCGGAAGTGAACTCGTCCCCAACCAGCGAAGCGCGACTCCGTCCTTTCGCGATACATGCCTCGCTAACATCTTGTTGATGCTTGGAGATGAACTACCGCGCCAGTGCCTCGACTTCAGACTTGTATAGCCGGCGCCGCTGCCATGTCTATGCGCGGGGCGCCAACGACGTGCGCATTGTGTCCAATAGTCTTCGCATGGCCTCATACAGATATATCGCGCGCTGTGCACAATGTCAGCATAAGCTCAGCGAACAGTGTAGAAAATACCAACACGGTTCATACATCATCCTCATCCCATTCCTGTTTAGAGTTCTCCCTGTCGAGTGATCGTTCGAAAGCCGTTTTCACAGTGATGCCGCAGCCTCAACGGCACCCGCGCCCTTGAATGCTCCTGGACTTGTCACCTCGATGCTGACGGGGTACTTCCACTCCATGAATTTCGCCCACCCTGCATCCCATTAGCACCGCTGATTCCTCCTTCCCTTTCGCTAGTACGTACCCCAATAAGCGCACTTCCGTCCAAAGTACTTTCCCAAATACGGCACCAACACCATTGTCAATAGTAATTCAAGTTGTTGTAGACTCTCCCGCCATTCCCGCTCAGCGTCCGACATTTCCTCATCTTCGCTAGGGGAGGCGGAGGTCGATGAGCCGGCGGAGGAGGAGGGTAGGGAGTCGACTTCTTCGGGAGGAGTGGTGGGCGGAAGGGTGGCGTAGGAGGACGAGGGGTTGGACATGGCGGAGTCGGAACGCGGATGTGCCAGAATGGAGGAGTGAGGTGATGCTGGTGAATGTCGCGTTCATCTCACATGCGGCTCTGGAGGTGTGCTTAGGGCAAACGACGGCTTCGGCAGTGAAGGCCGAAATGTTGAGTCAGCCGTGGGGCTTCGAAAGAAGACTCACACCTTCCAGTCACACACCCCTCCCTGTATAACTTCTACACCTACGAACACCGCTCAACCCACATACAACCGCAATCATGGCAGACACCGAACTCCCCGAACGGAAACCGCGCAAGAGCGTCGCCTTTGCAGAAGGCCAAACCATCGTCGACGAGAACGGCGACGTCACAGAGAGCTCCGAGCAGCTGGGCCGCAAAACCTCTGCGGAATCACATGCGATCGAGGGCAATGGCGACACGAACGGCGACAAGCAGGTGGATGAGATGACGGCCATGTTCGAAGGCCTGGCCAAGAAGAAGAAGAAGAAGTCCTCGAAGAAGGAAGAGGGCGAGGGTGAGAAGGACGGCGAGGCTGCGGCGGATGGTGAAGTCGACCTCAGCGCGCTGAAGAAGAAGAAGAAGAAGCCGAAGAAGACTACGGAAGACGACTTCGAGGCCCAGCTCGCTGAGGCGGGCGCCGGAGAAGGCAAGGAGGACGACGAGCCATCCACCAGCAGCAAGAAGGACGTCGAGGCCGGCCTGCAAGACGGCGACATCATCAAAGGCACCGGCGTCTGGGCGCATGACTCCGACAAACCCGTCAACTATGAGAGCCTGCTCAACCGCTTCTTCGTCTTGCTCCACGACTCCCACCCCGACCTCGCCTCGAGCGGCGACAAGCGCTACAAGATCCCGCCTCCGCAGTGCTTGCGCGAAGGCAACAAGAAGACCATCTTCGCCAACATCGCCGACATCTGCAAGCGCATGAAGCGTACCGACGAGCACGTGACTCAGTTCCTGTTCGCTGAACTGGGTACTTCTGGCTCCGTCGACGGCAGCAGACGTCTCGTCATCAAGGGCCGTTTCCAGCAGAAGCAGATCGAGAACGTGCTGCGTCGGTACATCTTCGAATACGTCACGTGCAAGACTTGTCGCTCCCCGGATACCGAGTTGAACAAGGGAGAGAATCGGCTGTACTTCGTCACGTGCAACTCGTGCGGGTCTCGAAGGTCCGTCACCGCTATCAAGACTGGTTTCTCGGCCCAGGTCGGGAAGCGCAAGCGTCAGCAGGGCTAAGCGGGTGCGGTGTAGGGACGCGAAGGGGATCAAGCGGGGTCCGTGTGGTGGGCTGGTGGATACTCGTTCGCCTGCGTACAAAGAAAGGAGGAGGAGAGAAAGGCTTGAGTTTGAGATGATCCTGTGGTGGGTTCAAGTGGATTTTGAGGAGGAAGGGGAGGATGGGTGGGATTTTGTGGACGATGAGGAGCTGGAAGGGTATCATGGCTGGGCGCTTCAGGCTGGCAGGGTACGATGGCATCCTGGATGCTCCCGGGCTTTCACGTAGAGTATGTGTATGGCGTACAAAGAATACACCAGTATCTTATTCTATGGTCCCAATTCTGTCCTATGTTGCCCTCTTAGAGTGAGTTGTCAAAGCCATGTGAGATGTGCTTGGCGAACTTTACGCCGTCACATGCCCTCTACCTCACTTCTTGACCAGAGCTCCTACATGTAGACATCCTTTCCCTTCAATGGCGGAAGTGAGTACAATCACGAAACATCGTAGTAAAGGTCACTTTAGTCTAATCATCCCATCAGGAGCAACTCGGTCCACCGTCGGCTGTGGGCCAGATCATTCGATATGTTGGAGGATGGACTCAACCCAGTGGACGTGGGATCTTGTACGATCGCCCAAGCTCCCGTTGCTTACTGGATGAGTACTGACCGATCGCACCATAGCATGTTTCGTACCCTCACCACGTCTATCTCCGCTGCTGTACAACCCCTCCCCCTCCCTCTTTAACTCCACCGACTGACATCTCCCAGGCCTTCACCGGCCTAGGCGTCGCCTACGCCACCGCCCTCTTCGGCGGCCCCCTCGCCTCCATCGGCTTCATCGTCGGCTCCAGCCTCGGCTACGTCGCCGCCACCATCCTCTACTGGCGGACGGCGATGCAGAGCGCTCTCGTAGCGTTCGACGACCATCCGCAGCTGTTGCATCTGCATTTGGTGAGGAATTATCCTAATGCCGGGTTTCAGCGTTTGCGAATGGAGAGGGAGGAGGAGAGGGCGAGGTTTAGGGAGAGGTTGGGGCGGGATTTGATGTTGAGGTGTTATTTGATGAGTTCGTGGCATACGGCTGCTCCGGCTATTGAGGTCAGTCTATTCTGGAATGCGGATGGTATGGTGCTACGAAGTTTCTAATAGCTTTGCAGGAAGTTATCGCAAGGAGAGAAGCACAATTGATCGCTAAGTATGGCGATGAGGCGTAGCATCGATTCTGATACATCTAACGTCTAAGAGCTCCCTCAACCAAACCGCCTCGTCAACGGCGCAGGCTTATTGCCCAGCACATCGTCAATTTCCTTCATAATCTCATCCGTCATCTTCGGCAACAGCTCCAAGCTCTTAATCGAATCGTACACCTGCTCCGGCCGGCTGGCACCAGTGATGGCAGACGACACATTCGGGTTCTTCAGCACCCACGCCATCGCCAACCTCGTCTGCGAAGTGCCGAGCTTCTCTGCGATAGGCTTCAAGGATGCCACCTTCTTCGCCTCTTGCTGCCACTCATCGGTTTGGAACCTCTCGCGCATCATCTTGACAAAGTTGTCGTCCGACTGCGCAAATCTCGAATCCTCAGGAATCTTGTCATTGTACTTCCCGGTCAAGATACCCGCCTTCAACGGACTGAACGGCGTCAGACCCATGCTATACTCCTCATACAGCAACTGGTACTCCTTTTCGACCCGCTCCCGCACCAGCATGTTGTACTGCGGCTGTTCCATCAACGGCCCCACCATATTCAGCTTGGTCGCGATGTGCTGTGCCCGTTCAATCTCGTCTGCGTTCCACTCGCTCGTGCCCCAGTAGAAGCACTTGCCCTGGTCGATCAGGAAGTTGAATCCCCGCACCACCTCCTCCATCGGCGTGTTCCGGTCCGGGCGGTGTGCGTACAGGAGATCCACGTACTCGAGTCCAAGTCTTTCCAGACTAGCATTCGTGCCCTCGACGAGATGCTTCCTGCTCAAACCGCCATTGTTGACAGGATTGTCACCGTTTGCAGCGCCCCAGTTGATCTTCGTCGAGATGACATAGTCGTTCCTCTTCCAGCCGTACTTCTTGATACATTCACCCATCACACGTTCGCTCTCGCCGCCGGCATAGCCCTCCGCACAGTCGAAGAAGTTGATGCCGCTGTCGTAGGCCGCTTTCATGCAGGAGAAGGTGCCAGAGTTATCAACGTGGCCGCCGCCGGCAGAGCCATAGGTGAGCCAGCCGCCGAGGGAGATGGCGGAGACTTGGAGGCCAGAGCGACCGAGGAAGCGGTATTGCATCTTTGGAAGATCGTTGGAGGCAGACATGGTGGAATGTGACCTTTCAGTGTTGGGCGGCTATTCTTCAGTTTTATGAGACAATGCTCTTGGTGTGGATGGTACCTTGGTATTCTTGAGAACTTGGGAGTAAAGAAAGGCGAGATACTTATGGCAAACCAGAATTTCTTCTGATGCTCTCATGAGGCTCACGAGAGTGGATACCGTACCTGCAGAAGTGAGCTATCTTGGCGGGGTCATTACAGAGCATCATCTTGATCATGGCCGAAAGAAGAAGGACGGTGTTGATGGTGGAGTGGAAGATGTAGCGGAGAGCTCAATTTAGCCGACTGTCGGCTTCGTCGACGGCTGTTCGGGCCGATGTTGCGCAGCCAGACGACCTCTTTTGCCCCTCTTCGATATGACTCTCGATGGCAAGTCACAGACATGCCTCTTCCAAGACTTCCGTGCTGATATCGCGCTGCTCTCGACAACACCAAGATGGTCAGACCTCCAGCTGCAAGTGCAATTGCTCAGACCTCCGGCTGCAAGTGAGATGCCTCCAAGCAGGCTGCTCGAATGAGTCGTCCATACCGAACACACGGATATGGCGTAGCGCTCTCGAGCATAACGAACGCCGCAACGACCGACAAATAAGGGTGCCCTCACAGGCAGCTGTTGCTGTTCAATGGTCGATCAGTCGAACATGGAGGAGGCGAAAGGCCTTCTCAAGGATTGTGCTTTTCTGTCTGGATGCCCGGCGTATCGCCCACTTGGACAACGCACCTGGACGCACTAACTTTCCCCGCTCTGAGAGCCTTGAGAGCAGGCTCCACGCCGTTCAGTCCTCCTCGATACACAGTATGCGGATGCGGCTTGAGAAGACCATCGGATAGCAGACCTTCAATACTCGAAGTCATCGCCCTGGCAAATGTAGGTCCACCTTCTTCGAGGCCTAGGTTGCCCAGCTCTTCGTCCTCGTCACGTCCAGCGAGCGTGTTCCACAGACTGCCTGCCATGGCATGCGATATGTTCAAGCCTTCTGGTAACTTATGTGCTCGCCCTGGTAGCGTCAGAGCGATTCGCCCGCCACCTGGCTTCAGGATCTTCGCAACATTGGCCAGGCTTGATTCCTCACTGACCGCATCGAATGCATACTCGAGCTGCTTTCCCCCGAGCATAGATTGGACTCCTTTGAAAACGGTCTCGTCTCCTTTTCGATAATCAAAGACGATGTCTCCGTTTTCCTTATCAATCAATCCTGAGACAAAGTCGCATCCACTTCCCGCGATGTTGATGACAGGGTGAACGTTTACAAGCTGAGCCAGCTTAACGGCCATACTCCCAACTCCAGTTGCTGCACCGTATATCAGCAGTGGCGTCTCTTCTCGGACGATTTCCCACGGCCCAGCACATACTTTCAACAACCCGAACAGAGCAATGCACGCCATGTATGCTGCCATTGGTACAGTGGCTGCCTCTTCGAACGACGTTGTGTCGGGGATCTTGAAGCACACAAAGTCCTTCACGAGCGCGAACTCTGCGTACGCACCGTACGGAGCACCGAGCTGATGGAGTGCTGCCACTCTGTCGCCTGGCTTGACGGAGGCGACTTCGGCGCCGACTTTTTCCACGACGCCTGCGAGATCATCACCGGAGTTGGGGCAGTCCGCAATCGTCTTGAGCAGGCCCGCGGGCATCTTCCAATCTTTGGGGTTGCATGATGCGCAGACCACGCGGACCAGGATGTCATTCGGCTCTGATATCTTCGGGATCAGGACAGTGGCCAGTGTCACAGATGTGTCTGGGTGGACGTGGGCTTCAAGCATTGTCATGCGGGATTTAGCAGTCGAGTCGAGTTTTGTTTTGTCGATATTGTCGATGAGATACGCAGTGCAATGCCCCGTCGACTCTACACAGGGCACGGGACGGCCGGTCAAGGGAGTTGAATGATTTATAGGTCAGAGCAAGGCGTGGATCATCTTCTAGTGTTTTCTTCCGGGTGGATTTGCATGACACTGTATTGGACTTGGATGAAACCAACTCCACCAGCGAGCAAGGGTCATGGACTCCCTAGACAGTCGAGAATTTATTCGACGATTGACTTTCGGATGCCCCTTCCGACAACTCTATTGTGAAAGCGTCGATAGCCTCGCCTTAGGAAGGAAAAAGATATACATATGTAGGCAGGACCCAGAGGTTGCACGGCCATCACCACATCACATCATGTCCGCGCCGCCAATGCACCCAAATTTGCGAAAGCTGCTCGACACTGCTCAAAGATTCTTTATGGAGGTAGAAGATCTGTAAGTTTCCCGAATGACGTAGCTAAACATTGCACTAATACGAACCTCAACCAGGACTCCGGGCAAGGAGCTAGAAGCCAGACTGAACAACAATCATGGACCGGGCACCCCGCTGCACGACGATATGGCTGCTCTAGTCCGACGCGGCGTCAAGAACAACGAGGGCTGGGTGGCTGCAGACGAAATCGATGGTCCCAATTACCGCCTGAGCAAAATCAGTCCCCCATGCGCTGAGACACGCTTCTTTAGCATCACAGCAGTGTTCATGGACAGCCAAGACGTCTATCGCGGCCGCTACCATCTTCATCCGTACGGCGAAATTAACTGCGTCGTCCCGCTGGACGAAAGTGCCGAACTGATGGGAATGTCTGGGTGGCAGGGAGCGGGCTGGACTTCCCCTGCTGCTGGAACGCATCATTACCCTTAGGTCCGGGGGGGTGCTTTGGTTGCGCTGTTCTTCCTTCCGGCTGGTAGGATCTCATACAAGGCTCAGCCTAGTATGCCGCAGCCGATGGCTATTTAGTCGCGTACAAGACTGTAAATATAGCTTCAGGAGTTTCCCGAGCTTTTTAATGGTTGCAGCATAAAAGCCAATCCCCGGTCCTAAGTAGGCCGCAATGGTATCGCCCTGCCCCCCGAAGACCCCGTTCGCCGAACGCGCACCGGACGCCTTCAATGGCCCCCCAAAGATAAACCACCAGATCAAGCCGCCGCATGGGCAGACATGTATTGCGCGAACGCTGCAGGGTTTCTCGTCTGCATGAAAACAGTTCCTGGTCCTGGGCGGTCGTTAATTGATGCTCAGAAGTCGAGCCGTCTGCGAAAGAAGCATACCTGTAAACTTGCACACCAGTCCCTCACCAGCGCTGATGTTGCTGATGATACCGCCACTTGCGATACGCTCGAGGATGTACTTGCAGTTCCAGGCGACCAAATGACCGTTGTCGATGATGTACTTTTCGCCTTCTCGGAGCTGTTAAGAATGTCAGCGCGAGTTTGAAACACCATCTCAGTTCATGACACTTACATCCTTCCGAATGATGGCACCCATGCTCATGATCCAGCATATGCCTATCCCACTCATCTTGTACACGAACAGCCCCTCGCCAGAAAACATCGCTTTGCTGAAGCTCTGACTCTTGTAGTCCTTCACGACACCCTGCGTACACGCCATGAACGCATCTTTGCCGACACTCCAGGTCTCCTCACCCGTCAAGCGAATGTTCGTCACATCACCCAGCATATTCGGCGCAAGCAGCAACTCTCCCGGACCGGTGAACGTGCTGTGGTTCATCTCCCCGCCCATCGCGAACTTCTTCAGGCTGAACTTCATTGCGCCTTTGAGGGTCATGGTAGGTGACATGGCGATCATAAGTCCAGGCGCGACTGTCAATGGACAGCCTACTGCCAATTGGACGGTGCAAATGGTGTTGCTGTCCCTGTGGCTGATGCGGTAGGAGCCTCCGTTGAAGGTGCCTACATCATCGACCGTCGACCCAGCGCCGACAAACTGGCCTTGCGGCGGAGCTCCACCAGGTGTTCGCATGAAGCCTGGCGTTCGCGGTGTCATAGGGACAACTTCCTGCTCTGATGTCTGCGCCTGCTTCTGCCTCTCTTGCGGATACGACTCTGAAGGTGGGCCGGGGTATATGGGCAAAGGCTTCTCCGACTGTCGGCTTGTGGACGCATTGGAAGAGTTGCCATCTTGTATGGGTGAGACTGAGGGCGGGGGAGCGAATTGAGGAGCTGGCGCCGTCTGGATTCGGGGAGCGGATGGCTGTTCTGAGGGCGGTGGAGGTGGGTAGTAATTCTGCTGCGGACTGCTGGAAGGTGGTGGTTGGAAGTGCTGTTGCTGCTGCTGGTCGCCTCCAGGCGGAGCTGTGCACGACTGTTAGAGAGCGGTGGGAGACCATGTGTTGGCCTGGCTTACGAGGATAGAAGTGTGCTGACATCGCTAGGAGCTACTGTTGCGTTCCTGAGGTGTGCCTGAGACTCGGATGTACTACAACAACCGCTGTCTGACGATCTGCAGCTGTGTCTTGTTGATGTCCTGGGCAGCGGGTCTGCTGATAGGCGTTCGCAGTTGTCTTACAGGTCGGACTTTGGAGTATGATCAACAGGAAGAAGAGGAAACGGTACACTTACTGTGCTCAAGGGACCTTGGGCAGTCTACATATTGAGCCAGACGGCGGTCGCGTTCCTGGCCTCTGGCGCTGCAGCTTCAGCTACTCCGCGCTGCGATTGGCCCTGCGTGGAGGTCACAGGGCGGCTGGACATGGCGCTTAAGGTCGGCGTCTACGCGGCCTTGCTCTTGCTCCTGCAACCGAATGTAGACAGTTCTTGTCATCGACGGCTAGGCTATGAAGGTAATGAGCTCTGCCAAATGCCGTGGACTGGAGACCCGGTGGAAGAGGAGATCGCCAGGTAGCCGGAGTTGGTACGGCCGTTGGAGGTTTGGAGCTCGGCTCGTTCCATCTCGTCTTTCGGAATTCAATTCACGTAAGCAGAGTTTCACCCAGCACGTGATCAGTGATTTCTTTTGGCAGTCTTTTCAGCACTTTCCCCTTGGCGATGGAGAGCGGCGACATGGTGCGAGGCGTTCTTGTTCGTCTCCATCGGCGCAAAGTACTGACAGTCCATTGGGATGGTCGTTGAAGGCTTGACGACACGATGCACAGCCCTGAGGCATTGGAGTCACCCAGCGACTGACCAATAAAGGATCTTCTTATTCTTTAGGTGGGGAACGCTTTCCCTCTCTGAGGCACCGCCTCTTCCTCCTCCCCCAGACGGCCTCGCGGTGTTCGAACTCGAAGCGCAGCTCGGAGACCAGGTCTTAGGTGCCTTAACATCGCTACCCGCCCTCGAGAAGCTCTCGTCCCTTTTCCGACACCTCTGTCTGGCACAGCGAAGGCTTGCACCGTGACGACCGGACACCAGGCCTCAGCCGCACCACTGACTGCGTTGACTCACTCTTCGACGGCTCACGAAGATCGGGGCACACTGAAGACGACCACTTTGGCGAGTGCGCAGCTCGACAATCATCCTTGTCGCGAAAAAAGAAACTCAACCTTGCTTTAAATGGCATTCAACAACGACCTCGCCATGCCGGCCTACATGATTTACCGTGACATACCCGCCGGTCAGCCCATGGACCTCACGGCTCCTCTTGCGTTCTTCCCACCGAAAGACTCAGATGAGCTGTTCGACGCCCTCCGCATGACCTACCCACATCTCAAGAGCCATTCTGAGAGGATAGGCCAAGCGGTCATCGACTACCTTCTCGAGGAGAATATCGTTCCTGAGCAGCTTCCGACGCCGCAAACGAGCACATCGACCAACTTCTCCCCATGGGAAGCGTCGATGCAGTCGATGTCTGAAGGTTCCACCTGGAGCAGCCCGGATATGCTTGGGCTGGCCACTCCCTCGTTCGGGAACTCTCCACAACCGCAACACTCTCAGCCGCTAACGAGACAATCCACGGTTGGTCTCTCGAACTCGGAGAACACGCCGGCGCTGGACCAGATGACCAGCGTCTTCAGCCTGTCCGACTCCACTCAACCTAAGCAGCGAGTCCGACGGAAGATGACTGATGCCGAAAAGGCGGAATACCGTAAGCGGAGAATCGTAAAGGCATGCGATAAGTGCTCCAAGCGGAAGCGAAAATGCCACCACAACCAACCTGAGATGGAGAACATCTCCACCAAGACAAACAAGGTCACCAAACCAATTGTGACCACGCCACCAAAGAATCAAGCACATCAACATCAACAGGTGAGAATGGTTCATTCTCCGAGCGAGCCTAACACATGACGCTAACATGATGACCTACAGCAGCACGTCCCTGATCCTTTCATCGGAACGGCACCGTTCGACCAGTCAATGACCGCCAACATCTGCATGCCCTCATTCGACGATTTTACCATGTTGCCCGAAGATCCGATGTTCGACAACAACATGGACTTCGGACTGTCTGACTGGCCATGGAATGATGTTCCAGACTGGACGCACCTTGGCATGACCGACAGCAACTACCAAATCAATGACCACCGGAGTGGCAGTTCCTCGCAGGGGCTTGCTCAAGGTGGTCCGTTGACTTGGGACAACCAACATGCGAACCAACATGCCGAGCGGGTAGACGTACCTCGCGAACCACAGCAGGCAACGCACACACGCCACCTGCACGAGTCGTACGGACCTGAGAATCTCCAGCAGCCAATGCTCGAATCCGTAAGCCAAGGAAATGCTACGGACGACTCGCTAGGATGGCAGCATCTGGCTTTGCACGATCGCGACAGAGAACACCCTGAGCCGGGACGGCATGTTCCGGGTGCTACGCCAGCACCAGCCCTCGCGCAGATGACGCTGCGCTTGACGGGCACGAAGAAGGCTGTCCAGGCGTTCGGAGACCTGCTTTCGTCACGATCCTCGAGTCGGTCGAGTCTGCAGAAGGTCTCACTGAGCAAGATTGCACTCGTGGCGCTGGCAGGGTTGTCAACAGCACAGTCACTCACTGGGCCAGAGAGAATAGAATGGACGCTGAGTCGACCTGATGACGGGATCACGATCGAGCCACACCGATCGCGTGCGTCAGGCGTTGCTTGTCGCAGTCCGAGCATGATCGAGCGACGCAGCTCGCCGCGTTGCAGCAGCTCTTTCCGAACACAAGGAGACTTGGCTCGTCACGCGCAATTGGTGCACCACGCAACCGATCAATGTGATCCCCGTAGCCAACTGTATGCTCTTACTGAGCCAGCAGCTGGTGGACAGCATGGCGAGTACTTGCAAACGAGTCCAAGGAGAACGAGAACCGAAGCAACGAGTCGTATACCGCTGCTACAGAGTAGTGACCGAACGGGCGCCTCGGGAAGCCGACAAGCGCTTTCGAGCGAGACCAGCAACAGTTCGTCACGGTCGCAATCTGCACAGCAGAGTCCGCTCTCTCTGGGTGCTGGCATCATGACCAGCAAGAGTCCGACAATGGAGCTCTACTCGCTGAAGCATCGTTCGCCGCAGGGTCTTCTCGAGCGCGGCAATGCTACCGCAGCGAGGAGTCTTCTGCTTCCCGCAGAAGCTTCCCGCGCTACTCAAGTCAACGGCGGTGCGTACCCGCGACTTGAGACTACACCAGCTGGCAACAAGTCTGCTGGCGCCATAGCCGGATCGACGAATCGTCCGACACACTCTCGACCAACCGCGCCGGCCAACAACGCCCACACAGATCTCCAGTCAAGCCCCGATCTGACGAGAGCCGATGGCCAAGTGGTCACATTCAAGTCTCACAGCCACAGCGGCCTGGCTACACAATCGACGCACAACATGGGATCAACCGCCAACGACTTTGCATACCGCACGCCCACGCACAACGAAGTTGCATTCTTCCGCCTGGAGGACCACGTGCGCCGCAGGGATCACTTTGGCAGATCATCCTCTGCGCTCGCGGCGTGGGCTGTGAGCAAGCTGCTCATGATCCTCGTCGGTCTTGGAGTCCTTTGGCTCCTCTCCATGGCGGAGACTCGCGGCATCAGTCTTGGTGTCGTGCTTCTCGCGTCTGTGGCTCCTGTTCCGAGGGATGGGGGAATCCCCACGGCATGGAACAGTGCATGGTCGAACCCCGAGTCGCATGCAGGTGTCGACGCGGACTCGCTCAGGTCGGTGCAGAAGAGACTGGCGATGTCCTTCTACTCGGTGCTTGGCATCAGGAACAGCAACAAGATGGCGAGGTCGAAGTCGTTCGACTCGATGGTTGCATGATGTGGTGTCTGATGTTGGTCGTTGTGCTAAGCGTTCTCGTTACATGTTTCTCCTTGGGGTTGTCTTGAGAGGCTGAGCGCCCTCGACGAGTGGCATACTGGCGTTGAGAAAAGCGATGGAGCGGGCTACAATCTCTTTACCTATACAGCACCGATACTACAATGGAGCAATGCTTCAAGGATGGTTGTGCATTCATTCGTCTGCGTCCTGTTCTTGTGATGCACATGGGCTTCATTCCACTTTTCGAGAGCTCGAGCTTCTGCGTAGACTTGAGCACTGCGTGCCTCTCAGCACGACTTCCTGTCGATGACACCGACTTCAATGCTCATTCGTCTTCAATCCACATCTGCCACGGAACAACATCCTCACTGAACGTTACTGCACTCACCATGGCCTCCAAGACACTGCTCTTCCGCTCCGCTCGTATCGCCGCCCGCCCCACGCACCGCACTTTCACCACGGTCACTGCCCGTCTGCAGGAACAACAGCAACCTCCCTCACCACCCGACTTCAGCGCCCTCAATGCCCGTGGCAATGATACTGCCCCCGACTACCGTCGTTTCCAGAAGGAACGGCCACTCAACCCGCACATGACCAACACCAACAGCACCATCTCCAACGAGATGCCCAACCTGGGTGCCGACAGCCCACCTCCAGAGCTCATTACCCATGTCGTCTCAGACTATGTTCCCAAGGACTCGCGGCCAGAGAACACCGAGCGCATGACGGGGGGCACCCAGCAGCCCGCGCCAGAGGGTGGAGTGAACGCGGAGTTGAATGTAGGTGAAATCGAAGGCGGCTCCTTCCGCGTCGAACCTCTGCGCCGCACTGGCGAAGACGCCAACACCATGCGCGCTCGTCTCCTATGTACGTCTTACACCGAGTGAGGATCTTGCTGACCGGCTGATTCGTGGGTGTAGACCAATCTCGGAAAAGAGGCACGCTAGAGTCCGACCTCCTCCTCTCCACCTTCGCCGACCAGAATCTCGGAAACATGACACCCAAGCAGCTGCAGCAGTATGACCTTTTCCTTGACGAGAACGATTGGGATATCTATTATTGGGCCACGCAGGAGCCGACGCCGACTTCGATGGCATATGCTGAGGGTGGAGGACCTGATCAGGCTTCACCCGAGGCACAGGGCAAGGCTCCTGATGGTGGACCTGTAAGCCAGACAGATGGATGGAGAGTGGGAGCTCCGAGGAGCGGTGAGTGGGCGCAGACGGTGGGCACATTCAAGCCTGCCTACCGCCCTGTGCCGGCGAGATGGAAGAACAGCGAGGTTCTGAGCATGCTGAGGAAGCACGTCATTGATCGCAGCGCTGGTGGTGTGCATATCGCTGGAGGGGAGGAGGTCAAGGACGAGAGCAAGCAGGGAGGAGGACTCGGGTTCATGCCTGAGCTTCGGACTTTCGACCGAACACAGTAAAGTGTGTCTGCCACTCCATCAACTGTACATAGCGTAACATACAGATGCTGTCTAGCTTTACAGCATTTACAGATCGGAGCAGTGTTTATACCGTACACCAGCCCAACCCTCATTACTGCACCCTCCCACCCCTCTGTCCCATCTCTTTGCGGCCCATTTTGCCCTTCACCATCGGCCGCCTCGCCTCCGCCATGATCGGCTCCTCGATGGCCTTCGCAGAGACCTTCCTCGCCTCTTCAATCGCCTTGATACCACTGATCAACCTCCCTTCCTCCACCCTCCTACCATCTTCCAGCATCGCCGCTCGCCTCTTCCCTTCCAGCTCCTTCTTTCGCTGCGCCGTCATGATCCACTCTTTGGGATACTTGTACTTGGTCTTGGGCTTGTAATGTCGTACATCCAACGGCACATCCTCGAACTGATCTCCCTCCTGATCCCGCGCCGTCGTGACGAGGCTGCTGATGGTGTCGGCCAAGTATCGCTTGTTCCGCGCCTGGGTCTCGAAGCTCTCGCAGCTCATCTTGACCGTCTTCGTGCCGGGTTCGTACCGTGGCCCCGCGAGCTTCAGCAGTTTCTGTCGCTGCTTGTCGCTGAGATTCGGTATTCGCTCTGGCTGGAACTCGACCACGACCTTTCTTGCCGCCGGGTGTACTTCGCCCATGTATGTTGTGTACCGCCATCGAAGCACTTGGTCCTCCCGCGGTGGTACGTGAGGTCTGCTTAGTTGGGACAGCAGAGGCATCTCCCATGCCGCGAGCCGCACCATTTCGCGCAGCTCACGGTGTTGTTCGAGCTCGCGGTGGGCGCGGGAGGAGAGGTCCATGGATTTAAGGGCCATGAGGTCGGAGCGCGATTCGGTGGTGCTGGTGTCGGTCACGCCGGATTGGGAGGTTAGGGCGTCCAGGTCGATGTCGTCTTCTGCCGTTGAGGAGGCATGGCGGCAGGCTGAAGTCGTGAAGGTGCGCTGGGAAGGCCACGAGAGGAGCGCGCGGACGCAGAGGCGTTTGGAGGGAGTGCCCATTGTGATGGTTTGGTTGAGGCTGTTGTGGACAATGAAGCATTGGTTCCGTTGGTGGTCTGTATTCACTTGGGGTCCGAGCGCACTTCCGCGGAATACTCCTTCCTACCCGGGACATCACGTTTAACTGCACACAACGACAAGAAGCAACACGCAACATGAGTTAAAAGACGAGTGGCAGATGACCCAATGTCAGCTCAAAACCAGCAGAAGACCTGCCTTGTCACAATAGGCGCTACCGCCTCTTTCGCCGCCTTGGTTGAAGCTGTTCTGGACCCGACCTTCCTGTCCGGCCTTGAAGCGAACAACTACACCCATCTTCTAATTCAGTACGGCCAAGACGGTCAGCAACTGTTCGACGCTTCCCTTCAGCGCTCACTCCAATCAAACACTCCAAGCAGCCTTCAGATCTCCGGCTTCCCTATCGACACTTCTGGCCTGAAATCGCATCTGCTCCTCGCCAAAGGCCACGCAAATCCTTCTGCTACTCCAGGCGTGGTGATCAGCCACGCAGGCTCTGGAACCATTCTCGACTGCCTCCGCATCTCCGTTCCGCTGATTGTGGTGCCTAATAGCGAGCTTCTGGACAACCACCAGGTTGAGCTTGCCGAGGCGTTGGCGGAGCAGGAATACGTTGTCCATGGGCGGCTGGAGGATCTGACCGGCGCCCTGGGGGAGGTGGAACAGATACGGGAGCGGATTGAGGGGAAGAAGTGGCCACCCGTGAACAGTGGGGTGCATCGGGAGGCGAGGGGTTTGAAGGGGGTGTTGAATGAGGAGATGGGATGGCTGGACTGAACAGGAAGACGGCATCGCTGGCCCATCTACCAACTTTGGGGACTGCTACAGCGGCGAGGGACACCGCAATGGCGTAATAGGAGGTGTGGAGATTGGGAGGGAGCGTACATCGACCATTCGACCGCGCTACGACGGCCACGTTCCCAGGATAGCAATCTCTCAAGTACGGTCGAGAGAAGCCCAATTGGACCCCTGGTCGACTGCGACTGATGTGCCATCGATGCCCATTGTGGTCCGCCACGTGAACCTTGAGACGCCAAACTCCCTCCCAACCCTCCTCAGTCCTTGCTGGCCCCCGACCTCCTGCCTCTCCAGTGGGATTGTCGTTCGTCACACCAGCTAGTGTTCTTCGTAGGATGGACCATGGAGTGTGTCTTGTCGGACCCTTGGCAAGGATGGCCAATGGACGCGACGCCATTCCGGGCATTCCCCTACATCTCTCCATGGCTCCTTCTTTGCATTTTCAATTCTTCTCTGGCTCGTAACCAATCGACCAAGAGCCCAGCCAGCCAAACAAACAGCCCTGTCGCAGGACCCGCCTCGTACTCACATCCCCTGCACTCCGGTCCTCGAGTATTCTTGTACACCTGAGTCATACATAGCAGGAACAAGATCCACGGTAGATAGACGTTGGTGCTGAAGTGCCGGGAATTATGAGTAAGAAATCCCTGCATCCAGGCGCCGCATAGGAGCATAATCGATGTGGTGACACAGAGAGAAACGATTCTGCAGAACCCTTCGATGATGGAGTCTTCGATGATCTTTGGTTGGTTGTAGCGCAAGGTCTGGTATGCTTGCACGACTTCATCCTTGCCGCTTGCCAGTTGCCATACGAAGATGGTGCACAAGCCACCTGCCCAGTTGAAGGTTCTTATCAATGCCATCCTATGGGCATGGAAAAGCGGTCTGCCGTTGCTAGGTGAAGACTGATTCAGCTTATTGCGATATGTTGTGTAATTGTGTGCACAGCAAGCACCCATCTTCAAGATCCTCCGGGGGCGCAGCAAGCACCCCACCTGCGGTAAGAATTCAAGGCTCGTCTGTCGCACGAAACAGGTTTCGGGACGTGGTGGGTTTTGTGGAGCTGAATGTCAAACCATAAGGTACCCGGAGCGGTAATAGGTTCAAGTGAAGGAGCATTGGAATGGCTGTCGGACGCATGACAGAGGCTTGAGAGAGAGGCTTGGTAGGACGATGTTGTCTACTCAATAAGCATAGCGAAAACTAGGCGCATCGTCTCCCAAGTTGTCAGCTTCAGGCGCCTGGTACATGTAGTCCCTCTTGCCCTCCGCCCTGTTCCTGTTCTCTCGGATCAGCAGCAGGAACATAAGTGTGCCCATGACTCCAGTGAACAGCAGCAAAGCGAAGGAGACTCCGTAGCCCGTCTCAAAGTACGGCGCTTCCGATGCGAAGTAGATGTTGCTCGCCACGATACCGCCAGCATTGCCCCAACCGATTTGAGCCGCAGAGGCGAAGGCTCGCTTGTAGTGGCCGCCGACATTGTTCATCAGCCACGCCACAGAGATGGGCTGAACGATGTAGCCACATATGACCAGCAGGAAGAGCGCGAAGTATTTCGCGCCGACAGGCAACGAGCGCTGACACAGCAGCATGATGTAGCCGATACTGCCGACCAGCACGCCGAGCATGATGAACCCGTAGCGGTGCTTGACTTTGTCGCTGATGTAGCAGAAGCCTAAACAGAAGACGGCGGCAACTGCGTAGATGGGGATGGTGTGAACCTGAGCCGAGATGGCCTCGTAGCCCATTTCAACCAGATTTTGAGGGATGAAGAAGTTTGTGCTGTAGTTGGTGTTGACGATACCAAAGAACATGAGGGTACTGGAGGACATATCTAGTCAGTCACCTTTGAATGTTTCGTGCAGAGGGGGGACTCACCCAAGGAGGATCTTCCAGTCGCTGAATACACGTTTCGTGTTCCATCTGTCCATTGTCGCCTCTTCCGCACGGTCCTGCTTCAACCTTGCGAGAAGGATAGCCGTCTCTTCCTCGTCCAGGAAGCCCGAGTCTTCCGGCCAGTCGACAAGCCAGAATTTCATGCCGACGCCAACAATCGCTGTCACGAGGCCTTCGAGGATGAAGATCTGAAGCAAACTTAGAGTGGTTTATGAGATGGAGATCTGGAGCGACACACCCATCGCCAGCCGCTATACCCTTGGATGCCGTCCATATGTGCAATCGCATACGCGAGAAGTCCGCCAAACGCACCGGCGACAATGCCAGAACAGTACCACCAGGAAAGTCTCTGCGGTAGTTCATATCGCCGGTAGTACATCGTGATCAGGTAGATTGAGCCAGGTCCTAGACCAGCTTCAAAAATGCCTAGGAGAACGCGAACACCAACGAGAGCAGCGTACGAGTTGACAAAGCCCATGCACATGTTCATGATGCCTAAGAAGTATCAGCGTGGATCAATCCAAGTCTGCCAGGAGTTTGACTCACCGCAGCCGAACAGAAGTGCACTCAGCCATGTCGAAGGCTTCAACCGCTTCATGATCAAGTTGCTGGGATTCTCGAACAAGATGAAAGGTATGAACAGCATCAACAGAGCGACGTTGAACCGATGGCCAATGAGATTCAAGTCTTTTGGTAGTCCTTGGATGTTGGCATTACCAATGTTGACGCGGTCCAGGAAGGACAGCATGAACAGGATCAAAGTCGGCGGTACCACTCGAACGTCGCACTTCCGTCTGATGCGCCTTTCCATCGCTGGGTCGATCGAGACATAGTCATCGCCGTGGGGGGAGACAACCGAGAACGAAGATGCTGAGAGCTTGCTCTTTTCATCCTGTGGAGGCAGCGGTACTGGCAGAGCTTCGGTCATGGTGTTGAAATGGTAAGAAAGTGGCAGCGGACGGACTTGAATGCCAGGTGACAGCTTGAAGTAATAGACTAGGACACTTCATAAGAAGTGCAATACCAGATATCGCTTAAACGGCGTCGGCAGTTGATCGCAACGAGAGCCACCACCATGCCACTGATCAGCAAAACGCGGCGCGAGAAAGCGTCCAGGCCACGAGAAGTCGAAGGACAGGGCGGGTCCGGGAGAACGACACAGACGAGGTTTAGGGAGGGATGGTGCGTAGCCAATGGATTGTAGCAGACATACGGCTCAAGCGACTCTACTCCAAACGGAGCAGTCTGTCCCTGCCGCTGGGCAGCAAGGACGAGCTCATGTCAATCCTCAACCCTGCGGCAGAGGGGCACGGGGACGCCTGTGTTGCTCGGCTGGAGGCATGCTTTGATTGAGGATCGCCCTTCTGCTGCGAGCTACTGCGGAAAGGCTCGAGGGTTCCCGACTATCAGCTGCTTCAAAGGATGGTGGTGTTTGGAGAATGGCGAAATTTGGAAGCTGAACAACAGCTAGCTCCTGGATTGGCGGGGAAGAAGCAAGCAATCTGGGGGTGGAGCCGTCGGGTGCCCGCCGTCCCCTTCCGCACCGTCGCCCGACGCCCTCTTGGCACGCTTGACTGGACTTCATCGGTGAGTGCGACGCTGCTTCCCATCTTCTCCTTGACCACGACAGTTGTTTGAGCCACATACTGATTTGCACTGCGGTGCTTCTTGTCGTTACCTGCGAGGACAATCAGCGGTGGAAACCCGGTCACGCCCTGGTAGGATCGCGCAACTCGCAAAGCTCCCTGGTCGTCCCGGTGCACAGCCGAAGAGCAAGCAGCATCGGCCACCTCCGGATCTGTCGACCGTGCCAGGGCAGCATCAATGCCACGGACGCTAGTGCTCGAGCCTTGCGTTAGCGGTTCGGGGCAGGCTCGCGGATGCGAGCATCTGTAGATCGACGCCGCTTCCACCTCCACTGCTTTACCGCTGAGCCTATCGAGTGCTTCGCCAGGCTGGTTGTTTCGGATCTCGGCCCATACCTGGGTCTTGCCGAATCGTGACACTGACTCGCTCCTCGTCACATTCACAGCGTTCACCCCTCTCCAGCTGTTGTTAACGACTGTTGATATGTCCCCAGCACTGTCAGGACGGCGCAGCTTGCGATCAACGCAGAACTCCTTCAAGCAATAACGGACTCGCTTCCTGAGCAGGCGGGGTCAGACAGCCCGAGCCTGTAATGTACCTGATGTGACCTTTCCAGGGTGACCAGTTCACTGCAGGCAGGACGGAATCGATGTAGTTGTCTCCCAGTCACTCTCTCACTCCAGTATCAGCAACTCATCACAGACAGTGGAAAGAACATCGCTGTACCCTACAGCTGCACCCTCTACCCCCGAGCAATCATGGTCGTCGAAGAAATAACGCATCCTCCTTTAACCCTTCCCAAAACAGAGGACCTGGGCTGCTACGTTTCTCCATTGCATTCACGGTCATTGCAGGCGTCTTCTTGCTGATGAGGGCTCACGTTCGGATTAGCAAGAAGTTGTTTGGATGGGGCGACTTTGCCATTGGCGTGGCCATGGTGAGGCAGAACCACTCCCACGCGTTCACAAAGACTTACGACGCGCAGATGGCTTCGGTCGCACAAACCGTCTTTACTGCCATATCCGTATCACACGGTTATGGTAGACACATCGGCGACATAGACGACAACGAGTTACCGCGTGCACTTTTCGTACGTGAAACCTCCCTGTGCTGCATCTCGCACTGACGTTCGAAGTGGTTCTACATCTGCCAAATTTGCTACAAATGCACAACATGGCCAACGAAAGCCTCCATTCTTCTGATGTATCAGCGGATCTTCGGCGACACACCTGACGTCCGCTCGTACGGCATGAAATTCCGAACGCTTGTACGAGTTATGCTAAGCGTCGTTGTCTTGAGCTTCGTCTCTACATCGATCGTCGGCATCTTCGCCTGCCATCCTGTCCGATACGCCTGGAACAGATCAATCGATGGCGGTTGCGTTGAGACCACTCCCTGGTGGTTCTCGTACGCTGCCATCAACATATCCACAGATGTTGCTATTCTTGCCTTGCCGATTCCGCTCATCAATGGATTGATGCGAATTACAAAGCGACAAAAGATGGTGCTGATGGGTGTCTTTCTTCTCGGCGCATTGTAAGACGAATCTTGACAGCCTGCAGAGCAGCACAGCTGACGAAAGCACAGTGTTTGCGTCGTCACCATTGTTCGCATGACCACGCTTCGTACAGGAGCGGCCGGCCATGATCCCACCTACACAGGTGTCGAGACATTGGAGTGGACAGGGATCGAGACGAACGTTGGTATCATCTGCGCATGTCTTCCACTGCTCCGACCGGTGCTGAACATGCTTATGCCGTGGTTTGCCCAGCGCACCGCGCGCGACTCTCACCCCCGACCAACGTATGGCTACAGTGGAAGCAGGCCCTCGCGGTCGCAAAAGACGACTGTTGAAAACACGTGGAGCAATTTGGGCAAAGGGGAGAATGTCATCATGAACCACATCTCAGCGAGACGTCCCGAATCTCGGGGTAGCTCTGAAGCTGGGATCACGGAGGGGATTATTGTTACCAGGAACATCGATTATTCGGAGAGCGCAGAAGACCACGAGTCGGAAAAAGATCGTCAATACAGTCAGGCCATAGCTTCGGATAGTGTTGTATGAGCCAATGCTCGTTTACCAGTTGCGGATGAGTGCCCCGGCGTGATCACGGCTATTACCCATCGTCGTATGAAATTGGGAATGACAGATGTAGCTAAAGGTCTGGCGTGCTACGTCTACAAGTCTGTCGTGAATGCTGGACTTGCAATGCAACCTGCAAGGTCATGTTGTACCTCTCAAGCACTGCCAAAGGCCTTGCATAAACCGACGCCGTTCTATATTCCTGATGAGGGGAGAAGGAAGTCGCCTACCGAGAGAAAGTTCCGAAGGTGAGCTCCGCCAACAACCTTGCAGCTACATGAAGCTCTTACATGCGCATTAGCTCCTCACGTCCTCGCAGCTCTCCCCTGCTCCCCAAATCCCGCAATGTCGATCAACCGGCAGTCGCTGCATCGCCAGTTTCGTGATGGATGCGCATCCAACCTTTACGCAATTCACGGCTTCTGAAGAAGCGCATGTTCCGGGCTTCGGCCGTCCGAAGATACACACATCACCAAATCAACGACTCTCGATGACAATAGTCGCCTCCCTCCTAAATCGACTAGTCGCTCGCCCATGACCAGATGGAATCTCAGCCAGACTTCAAGGTATTAATTGTAGGTGCAGGTGAGAAGTGACATGGACCTAATGCCGATCATGACGGCCAACTGACTACTGACTAGGCATTTGCGGTCTTCTCATCGCCCAAGGTCTCAAGAAACATGGCATCGCCTTCGAGATTTTCGAGCAAGAGTCCACGGCCGGCCGTTCGCGAGACTGGGGCATGGCGTACTTCTGGTCGGCAGACTACCTGCCTTATCTTCTCCCCCAGGAGCTTGTAGATCGCTTGCCAGAGGTGCAAGTTGATCCATTTTACAAGGCTCAGCCGGTGGAAAGTATGACTGTTACGAACGGACTGGATGGGTCGGCCATTAAGGTTGTACCAAGCCCTGGTGGGAGGAGAGTCGGGAGGAAGGCGACGAGGAGGCTTATGGCGGAGGGCATTGATATAAAGGTGAGGTGTACTTCTTATTCTGGCTTCAGGATGAGCTCTACTTACAGGTCCTGTCAGTTCAACCATCGCTTGAAGTCCATTTCGTATCCAACAGCATCCACGGTTGAAGTCTCTTTCGAGAACGGCACCAAGGCCAGCGGAAACGTGTTGATCGGCGCAGACGGCGGAGGCTCGCGGGTTCGGCGTTCATTGTTGGGCTCACTGGCTGAGCCCAAACCATTGCCAATCTACATGGTGAACTTCAATGCGCGGTACCGTAACCCCGATCATGCTGTGTTTATCCGCTCCAACCTCCGGCACTTCGTCGACCATGGCGTCCATCCCAAAGGCATGTTCTTCCTGATGACATTGCAATCTGTCCCGGATCCGAAAAAGCCAGAAACATGGAGCTTCCAGATCACAATCACTTGGCCACCAGAACTGAGTCCGAACAAGCAAGATCCGGAGCCGCCGCATACGTTGCAGGATCTCCAGGCGTTGACCAAAGATTGGGCGAGTCCGAAGAGGGAGGCAATCGATTGGCTTTGCGACTCCGATGTCACGGTCACAGATGGTTTCTTCAGCAAAAACGGCACTCATTCGACCACCGCAGCAGTGGAGGAGACCGATCCATGGCAGCTGGTCATCCCAAGCGATCGCGTCTCCATCTGGCTTCCAGTATTGTGGGACAACCACGAAGGCAGAGTGACTCTTGCTGGAGATGCTGCTCATGCGATGACATTTCACCGCGGCCAGGGGTTGAATAACTGTATCAGGGACGCAAAGGAGATCGTTTCTGGGTTGAAGAAGCATGTTAAGGGCGAGACGGCTCTGTCGGGAGTCGTGGCGGCTTACGAGAAGGAAATGCTTGATCGAGGCTCAGCGGAGGTCAAAACTTCAATGGAGCAGACACTGAAGTGTCACAACTGGGAGAAGTTCCAGCACAGTCCGGTGATGAAGATTGGTGGTAGTCCGATCAGACATGTGGAGAACACCGAATGGAAAAAGATACTCGCTGAGCAGGCAATGGAAGCGTAGACGTTCAAGATTTGATGGACCTGGTATGAGTATTGTTTAGATTAGACAGCGATCAGAAGGCAGCGCGGCTCCAAGCTGGGCGTACATGTCGTCACTCCTTTTCGTAAATCGTATGTGGTGGGTTTCAAATCGCCTATTGTCCTTGATCTCGTTACGTCGGGAATCGTAGTCGTTCGCTGAAGCGCAATCTGCGGTGCTGTGATTCATGCTGCAACGCCGTCAAGGTCGTGGCATGCAATCTTGCCCTGGACCGCCATCCCTAGGCTGAAAGCACGCTCGTCATTGTCTGTTATATCCTTCTCCTTCCTCGCTCTGTTTTTTCTCACGATGCTGTTGCCATTGGGCCTCTGCCGCGTTTGCTGCCAATCCTCCGACCACCGCGCCAGCCACCGTCTTCCAGTTCTGACTGCTTTCGTTCGGATTAAAATGGTTGCCTCCAAATCTGCGGACGCTTATTGCACCGATTGCTGCGCCGACCGAGGCAGCCAGCGCGCCGTTCGGGCTTGCATCAAAGGTGCGGCTTGCGAAGTTTTGGAGGTCCCCATCGTATGCGCGAGATTGCCGCTTTTCGCTCTGAGCCCGACGTGCGCTGCCATCTTGCTGGCCTTGACGCCGAGCAACCTGCTGCCGGCGGTCTGGCTCTTCGTAGTCGGAGTTGGACGAGCTGCGCGACGAATAGCTTTCGCGCCGCTGTGGTCGGCGTCGACGAGAGGCATAATGTTGCTCATTGTTGTCTTCGTACTCGCGCGACTGGCGGCCGTTCACCGAGCGCGAGTTGATGTCATCTCGGCGCGATGCCGGTCGGTAGAAGTCGTCCAGCTGCTGTGCTCTCACTGCACTGATGTCTTCCGCGGGGATCTCTTGCACTCGGCGGCGGTCATGTCTTCTGTCGTTTCGGTCATAATCTCGACTGCTGTAAACGTCGCTGTACGGTACGTAATCGGACGACATGGTGTTGATTACGGGAAAAGCAGAGTATGATGCGACTCGAAGAGATCACTTCGCTATGGCAGTACGTCACCAACGGCCTGAAGGCTGGCAAAGCTGGCCAGACCGGACGGAAGCTCGCTCCTTCGAAGGTACATGTAGGCCTCGAATTCAGTCTCACTTTTAGTTCTAGCAGAAGAGGCGCAGGACGTTACTTTAGGCTGTCACAAAAAGCAGATGGAAATTTAGGAGAGAAAGGCACAGGTCCGTGTCAACTAGGGTTGATTTTCAACTCTGTCTGCGACCAAAACGAAGGACCACGACACGACCATTACCGTTCCATCAGTCCATTACAACATCGGCCATTTCTGCGGTTGCAGCACTACCTAGTACCCGTACCCAACCGCCGACAGGTTCGCCATACAGATCTGCTGCGCCTGGCCGAAGTACTTCACCGTCGTCTTCTCGGACCTGTAGTTGTAGTCCAGCCTGACCATGTTCACGGTGTCACGGGATTGGTCCCGGAGAAAATAATTAGAAGGCACGATAGAAATCGCAGAGTGAGCCGTCGTGAAGACGGTGTTTGGGAGGTCTCCAGTATGTGGCTGCAAGGTGTTAGGTCAAGCCAGACGATATGGTGGACGAGGAGGTCAGGTCAACGTACCAAATGATGCATCCCGAGATTCAACCAGAGCACGAGATCCTCCTGTTCAAGCGACTCCGAATCGAAAAAGGTGTCAAAGTCGACAAGCGGGTCGTATACGCTGCATTGCAGACATTTATCAGCATTGTTCTCGAGGATGACACCTGCTCACGCCGGCGTGCAGTACTCACTTCTCGCCGTTCATAGCATTAGAAGATCGCGGCTCAGTGTCCTTCTGCTTGGTGATCTGGCTTTTGTTAGTCATCTATCCTCTCGTGGCAAAGGCCAGACAGTCTGACCTGAAGATCATGGTACGCCCAGTTGCCAGCCCTTGCCAGATTGCTCGAGTTGTTGACGGCAAGGTGAATTGTCCCTTGACTGGGAAGCACGCGGTACCTGGAGCAACGAGCGTCAGCTGATGCCTCCGGCCATGCTTCTTCTTCAGCGACTGGACTCACCCGCGGTACTCGCCGTACTTGTTCGGCTTGTCCTTATTCACCACCCGATACTGCGTCTGGCCATTTTGGGACCAGAACAGTCTACTCTCGTCCTCCGAGGTGACATCCTTCCGCACAAGCTTCATGGTGTTGCGAGGTTGGTCTGACCAGACGTACTCCTCCGTTGTTGGTGTGACGGTGACCAGTTCCATCGTGTTGGCTTGGCCGAGAATGTCCATGTCGAGCTTGAAATTGAGGACATGGTCGTGCATGCTGCCAGACAGAGCATCGTGGATGTGGTAGCCGTAGTCTTCGTTCTTTGCGTAAAACGCGGACTGGATGTAGCCGGCAGCACGCACTACTACTTGAATCGAGCCTGTACCAGCATCAGCTCTGATGCGATTGAGGAGATGGAGTGACTGTTACCGTCCATGTAGAACTCGTAACTAAAAGAGTAGTCGTAGTTGCCAACGGTAGTGATTGTGCGTACAACAAAGTAGATGTTCTTCGTGTTGGACACATAGCCGTGTCGCTGAATGGAGTAGTCGGCATCGAACTCGAAGAGGCAGGCCGCTGATCAATGGAAAGGCGACAGTCAGCTGGAAGACCCCATCAGCATGAATTTGGAGAACTAACCTTTGACGTCCCTCTTAGCCGTATAGCCGCCGGCGATGGAGATGTTCAGATACGAAGCATAAGTAGGGCAGTCATAGCCCGGCATGAGCTCGTTGGCATATCCAAGGCCGTAGGCAGAGTCGAGGTAAGATGTTCCGCTTTGAACTGGATCCGCGCCTGCGTAATGAGCGAGCGCCTCTTGAATCCCGAGCTCGTAGATGATCCTCTCGCCCTTGAAGCGGATGTCATACATCGTCATTCCGGTCCTAGAGTGAAGGGTAGAAGGGTCAGTAGGTGTCTCGGTGGTTCGGTGGGAGGTGGGAGGGTCTCGAAGTGCCACAATGTGCTCAAACATTGGCTGTGTCTCAGAGAACCCTTTCACCAATCAGTTTGACTTACTCGTACTGGAATGTGAGGTAAAAGCTAAAGCCCATCCACTCAATATACTGCTCCTTATAATCGACAGAGTATCGTGCTTCTTGAGCGACGGGCATCGGAGGTGCCAGTCTGTCCATTGGGAAGCCCGGGCCTGCAAGCGGAGGTAGAAGTATCAGCGACCGTTGAAGAATGGCGGTTCTTGTCTGAATCTTTACCTTTCGGATCAGTATGAGTCCACGGGCCGTCAATATTCGCGGGCAACTTCTCGAATCCGGGAGAGAAGTATGCTTTTCGGAACTCCTGCAGAGCAACAATCAGCATCGTTCCATGCCAGACGGGTGCTTACAAGCACCCACTTCCGCAGTCTTGTAAAAGTCGCCGTTGTACAAGTATCCAATGAAGGTCCATGACTCTGGATCCTGACCTACAAAGCGTTGAATAGAAGGGTCAGTGGCAGCTTAGAAAATCAGAACACGACAGGGTGGCGTTGGTTTGGTACCATCTATGTCCATTCTTAGACCGTAGAATAGGCCTAATACTCGTTAGCACTTATCGAAAGAAGAGAGAAGCAGCAGTATTAGACGCATGGCGTCGACGTGTTCCACCAGAGCCTACTTACCTAGTGGCAGCAGATCGTACGAATCGAAAGCTCCGGTACTGCTGCCCCAGTACTGACTCCACTCGGTGATTTGGTTGTCGTACTGCCTTGAAGAGAGGTCAGAACCGGTCAGTGACTGTCTCGGCTTACGACTATCGAACGAGAGATTACCAATATGGTGCCTGTCCCGAGAAGGCTGAATACCGGGTTTTGTTGCCCCAGAGGTCTTCCGTGATGTCTCTGATTGACCTGGTAATGTTCCGGGTGAATTTGCTGGTAGTCGGTCAGAGGAAAAATGAGCGACCGACGAAGAGCGGGAGATACCTGTATGCACGATAGTCCATGTTGCCCAGAAGCATGCGGGTCTTTCCCGAATTGGTGAATGGATAGGTGAGAGGACTCCAGCTCATTTGGCTTACGTCGTCCGGTGTCGACAATGGGCCCACAAGGATGGTCGAGTACTGAGGAGATCCTTTCTTTGTTCCGAAGTTTTCCTTGGAGACGGTCAGCATTCTCACGGCTGAGAGAGACTCTGACATACGTAAAGCGCAACACTTGCGTAGCGTTCGGGCTCCGGACCATTGTTGTCAAGGTATCTTAGGACCTGTGACAACCAGGAATCAGCACAGACAACCACACAGCGGTATCGTCGGAGCCTACGACTCACATCGGTCTTGTTTGGAATCATCAGCTCGGCTGTGCCCAAGTCCACCAAGGTCGTATTGGGAAAAGCATGGTTCTTGTTTAACTCGCCGAGATATTTCCTCAAGCCTTTCCTCTCATCTCTGGTCAAGAACCCCCAGACATTCTTCTTGGGTGCATCGATGCTGGGTGCACGTGGGACCGTACAAACGGCCTCAGCTGAAAGGGTGTCGTAAGGGCCAGTGTAGTCTCGCATCCGAGAAGCGATCTCTGCCGTCTGAAACTTCCGTATATGCTGATGCGCTCTTCGTGCTGTTGCGGAGCCTGTGAACAGCAGGAAGGCAGTCACAAGCCGACCGACCGTCGACGTTGGCAGCATGTTGAAGATCTGTACAGGAGCTGAACGATTGTCGACCCGTCAAGGGTGGGACGTCCTTTTGAGCTTCCATGGTGACTCTGCCTCGCATTCTGATCGCGGGACAGTGGCAGGGTATGGACGCCACATGGATAGCCTGTCGTTCGTCTAGCCTCGTCGAGCGACATTGAACGATATCCTTCGCTGGAGATATCATCCGCTGTACGGACGACAGATGCATGCGTCCAGTCCAGGCCGTTCTCTGCGAACGAAGGATCCACGGCCCGCCATGCTGAGCTGGAGGCTGAGGCGGAGTACGAGGGACGACAAGCCTTCTCCAGATTGCTTCAGGCAGCAGGTTAATCCTCTTGGCCTGACATCGGAGTACGCCTCATGCTTGAAGTTGCGCCGTGAGCGAAAGCACTTACAAAGCGCATGGCCAAGAATGCAATGGGAGATGGCTAATGCAGTGCTCAGCCTCCCATGCGGCCCCTCAGGTGTCGGTCCGCGTCTCCAGAGTTACAGCCAGCGTGCAAGCAGCGACCGGTATCTTGACCCTGAATGGGATGGTTTTAGCCGTGCAGAGCGCTCTTGGTCGGTGAAGCCCGCCGTCTTCGAATGAACATTCCTCTCGCAAAGTGAGAAGGGACGAAGAAGACTACCTGCCGCGGTGATGTAAATCCAGTAAGGTGGAGGTGTCGGGGAACGGCAGTTTGGAACCACCTCAGCATCCTCAAACGCCAAAGTCGAGATGGTTCATGAGAGCATCATGTTCCTTCTTACCATATGCACTCGTTCGACTTTTTGTAGGTTATGATGATCAGTGGAATGCAGCAAGAATATCGATTGCCAGACTAGACGAGTCAAGGCATCACTAATAAGCCAGAACAACAAGGCGACTGTCCATCCGTCGCATGAGCCTTCTCATCCCCTCCAACCAGCTTGAGGCTACTTGCAAAACGGCTTGTGAACCTTTCAGTCATCCCTCTGACAGTCTCTTCTACAACACGACGCTGACCTACATTTGCTGCATCTTATTGAACCCAGCTCGCCTCCTCCAGCGCCACAGCCCTCACAAGCTTCTCGCACAATCTCTACCGGACATGGGATCGTCCGCCATCCGGGGCGTTCGTGCTCCTGTGCCTCCTCCGCTCGATGTTGTTTGAGAAATGTCTTGAACTGCTTTGGTCCCATCTCTGCGAACACGTTCTTATAGCCTCCACCCATGCGTCTCTTTTGGCTGCCGCCGTGGCGGCCAAACGCTGCTCAACGAATCGCTTCGCACTCAAGAGGCAGGCATTGGGTGACCTATCCGTTTCATATCCAGCCTCGAGGCGACACTCCAACGTCACGATGCCAGACCGTTCAGCCGTTCCAAATCCGTCGGATTTTGTGTCGTAGTTGGTCATGAGCTTTTCCAGCATGATGCATCTGTACTCACTGACCTCGGCCTCCTCAGAGGTGGAGGGCTGGAGCTGATCTTTCCTGATGTAGAAGGGCTCCATCCCCAGGCGTGAGGCAAGGGCAAGGACTCGCCAGGCCGACTCCTCGACGTTGAACCTTTGGAGGGCAGAGGTATCATGACCCTTTCGTTCTCACTAATGGATGCCCAGCCAGGCATGTAGGAGGCCACCGTGATGGCGGATCCACCGTTTAGCATGCAGGCGAATTGAGCTGCAGTCGGCATGATCGTCTCATGTCTTTGGAGAAACGTTGACGTGAAGAAGTCACTGGTCCGGACCTTTGTACCAGACGACTCCAATGTGCATTGAAAGCAAATTAGCTGGGAACGATGGAGAGATCCTGAACTTGCCGCCGTGTTAGAATTCTGTGATCCGTAGCAAGCGGATACATCACAGCTGCAGCAGACCGTAGCTGACGCTCTGCCATCTGTAAGTGGCGAAAGGCGTAAGCTCGAGACCTATCGATTCTTGATTGCATGCAGGCGTCCGTCGCAGTGACCTGTATCGATGGGCCTCTGGAATGGGCTGGGAAGAAGATTCCATATTACCTTATGTTTCAGTCGAACTGCACATCGGTACATTGCCTCGAATCACCTCAATGAACATGCTCTGAGGTATATTTTACGCTCCGAGACACCAGTTCGTTTGAAGCGCGGAGTAGTTGGTGGTGAAGAAGTGGAGAGGACGCACACCTCTTTCAATGCAGGCGGCTGGGATGTCACTGCTTGGCGGATCAGGTTCACGTCCGTGCGAGTTGCGGAGACCAGACCAACGAGAGGGGGGCATCGCAGCAACTCCACCCAGTATTTCCGTCCAGCATTCGCAATGCAAGACGGACAGAGACCTCTTCTTGCGGCGCACAAAGCAGGCCTACAAGACTGCCCTTGCAGAAGAGGAGGTGGGGGTGGGCAGCATGCAGCGATGCAGTAGTACCGTCGATCACCCACTTGACCCGTTAGTCAAGGTGCCGGCAGATATCTTGACCATGCGGTATGCTTCTCTCCGAGACGTGGGAGGTATGGCATCATTCTTCTCTTTCGCACTCTCCTTTTCCTGCCGTATCACCACCTTCAAGCTCCCGTAGAAGGGTACGATGACTCCACCGCCTATGGGAGAAGTCGCCCACACGAGTACCGATGCTCGAGATATGGGCCGTATGGGCAAGGTGCAGCAAGTGAAGGTTTGTTCGTGACCGCCATTCACAAACGCTCAGCATCTAACATGACAGCAGCGATACTTTGGGCCTTGGGGCTTGATGGGCTTTGCCTCAGTCACTGGCGCCGTCTGGCAATACGTCCTCCTTACTCTCATTTGGTCATTCCCAAATGGTGGTGCTTCGGGGGCTTTCTACATGTACATCGTCTGCGCTGTCGGGCTCATGCTTAATACACTATCTCTGGCTGAGATGGCATCAACGTCAGAGCACCACTACAGTTTCCGGACATGAGGCTGACAACAGTCATAGGGCACCGACCGCTGGCGGACAATACCACTGGATCTCTGAGTTCGCTTCTAAAAGGGCACAGAAGCCGCTGAGCTACGTCGTCGGCTGGTTGGTGGTGCTGTTGGCCTTGCGTCCGTTTGCTATCTGACGGCGCTACAGATACAGAGCTTTGTGATCATGCACCATCCAGGCTTCGTCTTTAAGAGCTGGCATGCTTCTCTGATGACCGTGGCGGTTGCCCTGGTTGCCGTACTTTTCCACACTGTTTTGGTCAGGCTACTGCCACTCCTGGAGGCGGTCATGCTAGTGCTTCGTGGGTACCACGACTCATAGATCACGACTGAGCGTCTGAGCTGATGTTCACAAGTTTCGCGGCCTTTCTCGCCTTTGTGTTCGTCCTGGGCTTCATGGGGCGCAGTGCGCATGCATCTCAAGTGTTCAACAACTGGAAGAATGCCAATGGGTGGCCAGAGACGAGCACAGCTATGCTAATCGGTGCGTGGCTTGCCGTAACTGCTCTGAGAGTCTCAGCCATTGACAAGACGCTGAAGGTATCATCGCCCCAATCACCACGCTCACGAGCGCGGATAGCGTCTGTCACCTGGCGGAAGAGCTCAAAGACGCCAGCCGATGGCTCCCACGCATCATGGTCGCTGCTGCGGGCATCAATTTCTCGATTGGCTTTGTACTCCTGGTCCTCATTCTCTTCCGCGTGGGCGACGTTCAAGCAGCCATCGGTGCTCCTACAGGGCAGCCATATATTGCGATCCTGCTTGACGCAACTGGAAGCGTAGACGGAACTTCGATACTCATCGCATACATCATCGTTGCGTTGATCTTTTGCTCGACCAATGTGGTCACAACTAGCAGCCGCCAGCTCTTCTCGTTCGAGGTGTGCCGTTCTCCGGATGGCTTTCGCGGGTGTCAGACAGGAAGTATGTCCCAACTCAGGCCATCATTTGCACGACGTCAGTAACAGTCCTGTTGTCCCTCATCCTGATCGGCTCGAGCACGGCTTTCAACAACATCGCATCACTTTTCGGCGTCGCATTGATGGGATCGTACATTGTTTCGATCAGCACTCTTGTCTATCAGCGGCTAAAGGGCGGCAACCTACCACGAACAAGATTCTCGCTGGGTAGAGTTGGCATCTATGTCAACCTTGTGTCGATTGCTTTCGATGCATTCGTCTTTGTTGTGGTGAGAACCTTCCCGTGGTTTGTTACGCTTGATGCTGACCTGTGTTGCTCCAAGACGTTCTTCCCGCCAGCACCGGATCCTGATCCTGCCAGCATGAACTGGGCTTGCCTCATCTTCGGCGCTGCGGTTATCTTTGCGCTAGGATTCTATCGTTTGTCGAGCTACACGGCGCCGGTTGAGTCGGTTCGGCCCGAAGAAGATCTCGTGCAAGTGAACGTAGAGAATGAGGGAAGTGAGAAGGGCATAGCTCGGGTGCATGACTGCTGAATTATCTTGGCTACCATTAGATAAAGCGTATTGGATCTCCACCAGGAAATTAGGTTTCTCCGGTCACCAGCGGGAGTCACTACATCGTGTCCGATACATGTGTTCTAGAACTCATGCTTGGCATATGTCATCGATGGCGCCAACAACGAAATATAAACTCTGTTCGGACACAGCCCAGTTCACCCTCTCTTATCAAATGCAAGACCACTTTCTTCTAGATTGAACTGTGAAGACCCTGCGTTCTGTAAGCAAGCCTAGCCATACACATCAGTACCAACACCAGCATGCCGCCAAGTAATACGGATCAGTACAACGAGGAACCTTATGGGCAGGACATCGAACTCGAATCCGTGGGATCGCTGGACGAGGCAGATAGCACCAAGCATGAGCTCCCAGTTAACGCAGCCGGGGACGTACCCAAAGGACTAGTCTTCCTACTGCATCGTGCACGCAAAGGCAAGGATGGACAGCAAGCTTCTGGGTTGGCGTTCTCTTGTGAGAAAGACGGCGAACGGCAACAAATCCTCTTCGCGCAATCGCAAGGCTGGATCGCTAAAGCCTCGAGAGAGGAGATTGTCTTCAAGCAGGGGAACTCCCAGGGTTCTGTTGTAGGCAGCGTGAACTTCCACCACTGGCTGGTCGATCAGAGCAAAGCCGTCGTGGTTGAGGACTCGCAAGGAAACGAGTGGAATTTGAAAAGGACGGGGCTTGGATCCTCACACTCCTTTGAACGTGATGGCAAAAAGCTGTTTTGGCGTCGCGCACACGGTGCTGGCGAAGGACGGAGCAAAACGAAACGGCATCTAGAATGTGTCGACGAGAACGAGACAGTCTACGCATTCTACGACAGAGGCAAATGCTTTAGTGCAGGGCCAGACAGGGAGGTGGGACGATTGGAGGTTCGGGTGGAGGGCTTGAGCCTAGAATTCGCCTCGATACTGTTGATGACGCTCGCGGCAATGTACGTGAAGCTGCAGAAACGGATAGTGCAAGGTAGTCAAGCTGGTTGGGGAGGAGGACTAGGGGCGGCAGTGCTATACATAGTTGGCGGTTAGCTTCACGTCTACTTGGAACAAAAGATGGCACTCTAGCATTGGCGGTACTACTTGTGGTTCTACGCCATATACACGTACCTTATCTCCTAAGAAGAGGATCGGGCTCTAGAGGCTGTGATGGCACTGATCGAGGTTCGCTTGTGGCTATAACTAGGGGATGAAGCTAGGATAGGACTGAACTATCTTCCTTGAGCGTGGACGTAGCCTCAAGACTTGGTCAGATGGACTATCCGTTATTAGACTGTCGTTCTGAAGTCATTCTACGCATAGCATTCGTCAAGTAAATGTACCTTCTTCCATCCCATACGTGCGGCTAGGCAAAGGATTATGAAATAGGGATTGCTGACTCGCGGTGCTCCACCTCGGTACACTTCGGTAGCGACGATTGGTTTGCTCGTCAAAACATCGTGGGGCTATACAGATAATGTGCTTCACTACTGAGATCAAGATTTCATCCGGTCTGCCATCGGCCTGCACGGCGTGAACCTCATCTTGGCCCAGGGACCTGCGATTCCGTTCTGATATCCCACTATACAACAACCAAAACAGTAGGTATTGCCCGCATTTGTATCAACAACAGCTTCCGTTCCTCTCCAGTCAGAAACAACCGAATCCTATACTCACGCTTGCTTGCTGTGCCGCTAATATAATGAGGTCCTCACTCTCACTCCTTAGCGCCTTGCTGCCGCCCCTTCTCTCCGCCGCTTCACCCACCTATGCCTCTTCTCCGGGACTTTTCGCTCGAGCTGCCATCAACTCGCCGCCTTCGGCCACCGCTCCGTCCCCTCGCCGCGATGACAAGTACCCTCCGGATATACCGCCTCTCTTATTAGACCTCCCTGCGGTAACAAAGCCGTCCATACCACCTGTTACACTCGACCTCCCACCCGAGACCTGCACGCCTGGCTTCCGCTCATAAGCAACTCCCGGCCTCAATGGCTACGTCCCTGCGGATGCATGCAACGCGCTGTGGCCTTACTTCCCAAACTTCGCCGCGGTAGTAGCCTTCTCCATTATGTTCGGCAGCCTCGCAATCGCATACCTGGCTCAAGCAGTCCTATACCGCAATGGCTTCTGCTGCATTTTGGGAGACTGGTGCATACGTTTTCCGCGCTCTTGGCTCCAAGAACCAGCAATCCTCCGGCATTGCAACCGTTGCTCAGATCTTGGTCCTGGTAGCTCCCATCTGTGAGTGTCAAGCTGAAAGACAGCTGTATCTTCTCTTTCTAACACCTTCCTCTCAGGGGTTAGTGCCTTTGCATACATGGTCTTCGCACGCATTGTCCACTTCTACTCGCCCACTTGCAAAGTCTGGTTCTTCTCGCCTTCCATCCTCGCTCTCATCTTCATCACCCTCGACTTTACTACCTTCGTCACTTAGCTTATTGGCGGTAGAATAGCTAGTCCAGGCGCAAGTGCGGCGTCCCGACAGAAGGGCTTGGACATAGATGAGCGGTACTAGCATGAAGGAGGGATTCATCGTTCTGTTCTTGGGCTTGGTTATCAAATTCCACTTGGATCACCTTTAGGAGGACGAGTCGGACCTTTGACAGTAGAGAATTTCGCTAGCCGGAGATGGTTAATCTAGGCGCTCTACGTATACTTGCTAGCGATACCTATTCGTATTATCTACCGCCTCGCTAAGCTCTCCGCCGGTCTAGGTCTAGGGAATCCTCTTCTAAGCAACTAGCCTATCCTATACCTCCTAGAATCGATAGTAATATAGTTAGCAATTCTCGCCTAGAACGACGTCGTCTATCCTAGTCGCTTTATTTATAGTAAGGACGCTAAAATGTTGCCTCCTCCTCCCCTCTAGGAGCGAATAGGCCCTACTACTATAACCTAGATTTCCGACGTTAGAAATCTTGCTTTTTATACAAATTTCGTCTATATACTAGAGTCTATAGGATTTTCGATCTCGGAAATCTAAACCTTAGAAATCTTGCTTTTTATATCTAAATCGCTATCTTAATACTATATAAGATACCGCTCCTAGGCTCGTAGTATATATATATAACGATAGATAATCTTAACCGTATCTTTAAGTACTTATCCGACTACTAGGTTCTTCGCTATAGATAGTATAGATATACTATTATACTAGGCTATATAAAAGCCTATCTTACCCGCTACTATAAAGTACTTTTAAAGTCGATATATTACGCTATCCCTCTTATAATTACTTCGCTCTCGCTACTTACTCGCGAGCCTACTAGTATTATCTTTCCGTAGCTATAGGATAACCTAATAGATAGCTTCCCCTACTAGTCGAATAGGGTTAGGGTTAGGGTTAGGGTT